GTATATTGTATTATACAACTGTAAAAAATTTTTTTATGATCTGTATAATTATGTATTAAAAAAAGTCTAATTATTATAAAATAACTAACAGGTGCACAGCACAATGCCACTAATATATAGCCTAAACAATATAGTCTAAATTAAATTCCTTTTATATTGCAAAATGGACTGTTCTTGTTACATTTAAATATAGTAGAGTGCCAGAAATTTGCCTCTCAATAATTCAACATTATGTAAAACTCGTCATGCTGTTTAAAAAAAAATACATGTAATTAATTTTTACCTGTATAACTTAACACTAGGACCAAATAAGCTAGAGTTCTTCATTGGCAACACTTGATAACAGCATGAATTCCAAGTGTTAACAAAGAATATAATCCTTTTTCCAAGATAACACTGAAACACAAATGTCAATAATTCAAAAGCAGTGACAAAATTAATGGTAGATACCAAAAGTGCAAAATTATTGTTTTTTTTCTGTATAATCACATACGTTATACTGTACATCAAACATAATTTCTGTACATCTAGTATCATCGTCCCTTACTGAAGTTTAGAAATGATTTAGGAATATGCTCTAAATATTTGTGTGCACTTTTTCAGGCATGCAACCTGCATGTTAAAGAATAGTGCTTCTTTAACATTGTTCCAGGACTTTACCTGGATGTTGTTGACATTCCCATCCTTTGTGTAATTTTTTGACATTCAAGAACTTTGTCCAGATTTCTGGACCTGTGGGAACCCTGAAATTTAAAAATGAATGAATTTCTCAACTTTACAAGAAATACACATATTTTCCTAACTATTACAAAATTCCAAGAATAACAAAGTAAAAACCAATTTACTTGTCTTCAACGTCTTTATTGTAATATAAATGCATTTTGATTCAATAATCCTCATCAGTATCACATATTCATTGGTGGAAGTAGTGATTTAATAGTATTAAATTTATGTATTTAGTTCTGGATTGTTAAACTTTTGCATAACAGTTTGTCACATGGATGAATTATCATTCACCACGTGTCATGTGACAATTTTAAGGCTTACTTTAGAAAAAGAAATTAAAATTAAATGAAATTTGTAACATTATCTTTCTTATACTGAAGAAAAACTTTTAAATTGCAACTAAATCATATTGTACAGTACAGGCAGCTTTCATTTTCTATATAGCACAGATAAAAATATAGTTAACTGCAGTAAACATTACTCATATGATCTGTGAATTTCCTAAGTTGTTAGGTGACTTTCACATATTGCAATGACAGATTTTGCTTCATTTTTTATTCCCACCCCCTTTCTGTATAAAATTTGTCATCATCATTGCCTCTCCTCCCCATATGTACAATAAATGTCAATTAACAACAGAATATTCCAAAATAAATGAAATATTTTGTATGCATACACACTTGGCTGACCTCCCCTCCTTGTGTCAGCATTCATCAACACCTCCCCATCTCGATGTTGCAATAAATGCATGCTGCCTTAGCCAATTCTGTAAGCTTTTTTTTTATTCTAAATGAACATATGGCACATTACTTTAATTTTTACATAACAACAATAATAAATCTTTTATATAATAGCTGTTATTTCAAGAATTGTTTATTAATTAAACTTTTATAGTTAAATTTATTGAATGAAATGTTTTTTAAAGGATATAATTCACAATCTTGTGGCAAGGGACATCCACCTGCTAGATCTTGCGTAAAAGTTGCATCTAAACACAACAGCCGAGTCAACCATGCTTCCACGTCGTCTCCATTGTGATAACGTATTGATTCGTTTAGAGTAATTTCATGTAATACTCTACCTAATATAAAATAGCCATTTTTAATAATTATTTCACAAGTGTTTCTTTTTATTTCAGAAATTTTGGTTATTACATTATAAACATTATCATACCTGTTGCTGAGGGCATTGTGCCAGACGACGAATTGCTCACAACGACTGTTTCCGAAGCATTGGATCCATAAGTTGCACTCTGCTGTCGCAATTGTTGTATAAGTTTAAGTGACAGCGATCTTCCAGTTCCTTCATATCTAATATCAAACAAAACTTTATGAATTATGGGAAACTATTATTAGAAAAGAATTAAATACAGTTCACTATAATTCAATTTAAAAGTTTGATTAATACATTTTTATTGAATTATCGTTATCTGTTATCAATACTATTGTTCAAGAAAAAGAATTTTAACAGTGCCAAAGCCAAAATTTTGCAGATAAATGAATTATAAAGAATTATTTTATAAAGAATCTTTTCAGAAAATATTTTTTTATTAGTTTTTTTGATAACTATCACTATTATTATCAAGTGGCCAAACATAAGAGTTTAGCATTCCTACGTATTCAATATCTTTAAGCTAACCAAGATGTTCTTTGTATAATGTAATATGGACAGTTAAAAAACTATTCATTGCAACATTTTATTTCTAAACTCAATTACTATTACACTAAAAAATAATTTTTAATTTGGAGGATTAAATTATGGCAGAATATATCTAACTTGCTTTATTTAGAATAAATAATTATACACAAGTATCATTAAAAAGTTTTGGTTAATGATTATTCTAAGAATACAAATATAAATAGAAAGACATGAAATAAAATTTCATCATCATGGAAGCAAAACAAGGTCTCAAAAAAATCTAATAATACAATATTCTACATCTGTACCTTGCTTACTTTACAAAAAATTGCTTTTTAATATCAAACAATTACCAGATTACAATGAGCCTTATTATAAGGCTACTATTTAATAATTAAATATCAAGTAATCCTGGCTAGAGTGGCGTCTCTTGATAAATTTAATAATTAATTTAGAAAGTTCTGGAAGAATTGGCCCAGAGTAGGACTTGCATCAATAATTCCCGCTTACCATGCTGGTGCATTGCCAATTATGTTATCCAGACTTCCATTCAATCTTGCCTCCAAAACTATTAATAATTTATATATCACCATACTAAACTTTTATTGATGGAATGTAATTTCTACAGCTATCTGTATTAAAATTTTTTGTAGAACAATCCATTCAATTTTAACAAATAAGTGATTAACTGTTTAAATTTATAATTTTTTTTAATTCACTTAAATTCAAGAAAATAAATTACTTCTGACAATACAACCTGGCTTAAAACTAATGAGTTCGTCTCTTTTTATTATATTCAATGTATAGACTTATTGAAAAATTTTTGTCTTTTTGTTTTTTCGCATAAGTTCCAAAGTTATCATCATACATTTGAACATTTGTAGCTTTATACCAACCGTTAAAATTTAATGGCTTGTTGTTTTAAGAAAAATTTAAATTTGAATGCAGTTGCCATAGAAATGCACATTCCATCGATGATAATCATGACATCAGTTTTTGTCATTGTTGTTCCCAGGGCTGTGGAGTCGCGTAAAAATCTACCGACTCCAACTCCGACTTTTCCTTATCATCCGACTCCGACTCCGGCTAAAACACCAAAACTCCATGATGCCAACTCTGACTCAACAGCCCTGCCAGGGCTGTGGAAGTCGCGTAAAAATCTACCGACTCTGACTCCGGCTAAAACATCAAAACTCCACGACTCCGACTCCACAACCCTGGTTGTTCCCAAAATTGGTAATTTTTGCAAAACTTAAGAAAAATAATCATTTTTGTAATACCGTTATATAAAACTTAACACGGAGTATTGTATTTTGCAGCATAATTTAAGTTGGGCCAAAGCATCAGAAATAATTTTCTTAAAAGATGCAAATGCGTAATTTTTTAACTGTATATCTATTGGTTTTCTTGAACTGAAACTCAAAAACTATTATAAAATTTTATTTCAGATGCAGCATTGACAAAATTTACTGAATAATGTTTATCTTTGATGAACAAACACTTTCCATTGCAAGTTAAATATACAAATTTCACTAATAGTACAAATCCATTTTGAAGATGGACAAAATTGGAAGTTAGGATTAGGTTGCTGCAGAAGTGAAAATTTAAAAGTTTATATTTTGGATTTGGAACAATAGAGTAAATATAGTTTGATGAAGTTTGCGTAATATTAAGCAAAAATACATTTTTCATTTTCTGTTATATTTGACAGTTTAGAGTTAATGTAGGCNTGAACAATTTGATAAATTTATATATCTGGGGCAAATGATTATTCAAGATAAAATCCAGAGATGCATCAAACAAGCCAAGCAAGTCTTCTGCAATAAGAAGAAACTACTATGTTCAAAGAAATGTACAAAGAATTCTACATGCTTTTATCTGGAGTATGGCTCTCCACACTGTGGAGACCTGGACATTGAACAAGACAGAATGCAATCTTTTACAAGCTTTTGAGATGTGGTGTTACTACAGAATGCTTAAGATCAAGTGGACAGATAAAAAAAACAGAATACAGAAGTGCTACAAGAGGCAGGAGTGATTAAGTCATTATTGAAAACTATCCAAATCAAATGGCTGGTGCTGGGGACATGACACAATGGTTAGCTAAATGGGATAGTGGGAGAAAACCAGAGGCAGACCACTGTCTACCATCCTTCAACAGATATGTTGTAATGTTGGCACCACTAACTATCACATTGGAAAATACATGATGCAGAACAGAACCTTATGGAAATGGTTTCTTGAAGATAGTTAAAAGTATCTCAGATGCATGTGTGATTAAGCTTATTGTCTCGTATTGGTCACAATGTACCACATTGGTTTTGAGAAGATATGCTTTGACTAATATCTTCCTAAGATCATTTCTGAGTGATATAAATTTTTTAAAGTGCTAAATTTTTAATAATAACTGATAATAAATTATTATTATTATTATTATTATATTTCATACCAAAGAAAATAAAGCTCAGATCATTTCAGACTTGTTTTGTATACAATAAAATCTATTGTTGAGAAAAATTTAATATCTTAATTTTTCATATTAAAAAAATTAAATCACTCACCTGAATAACACACAAAACTTTGGGCAACTGTTTTACGTTAGGATTTACTGGCGGAAGCAAACAGAACAAGTGATGGGCTGGTGCATCAGACATAAGTTGCAAATCGTTTGGAGAATTTTTGTAGTGTGAAGCCACAAAGAGAGCCATAATCTTCTGGAGAAATGCTTCTGAAACTTTATGATAACTGAAAAGAGTGTCACGATTGATATAATACGTAATCTAGTTAAAGAATTAAAATTTTGATACTATGAACTAAGCAATAATTCATAATTCTGAAGTTTCTGGATTACTAAAAATAAAAAAGTTGGATAGAATAAAGATTTTCACTGTATACAGATTGTTGTTCTGATTTTAGATGTTGAATAATTCTGATAATATGAACAGCAAAATAAGATTGTACATTATTATGCAGTAAAACAATGATATATTTGGAGAAGAAACTGTGCCATAAATTTTCTATACTGTATTGCTAAAATTGAACCAGAAAATGACTTTGCTATTAATAAAGAACATGGTCACAGTCAGTAATCCTCAAAATCTGTCTATATAATGTATTAGACTATTCCATAAGTAATACAATTTTTAATATGTACAAATAGCTGATAAAAACTGTAAACAACATGCAGGTATTAATGTGTAACTATCACTGTGATAATCAATTCATCTTTTGAAAGCCATTCTGTACACTAGTATATCTATATCAGTTTTTAAGTACATAAAGTAATGAATTGTATAATAAGCATATTTGGCATATCTTGTTTTATGAGCTTAAAAAAGGAAATAACAACTATTGTGACTCAAAATTTACACAAGGTTCAAAGATTTTTTTTACAAAGCACAATTAAAGCAAATTCCCCTTTTTGAACAAACGAAATGCATAGGTTTCTTTATTAATAAAAAGCAGCCTTAAAGATTTTCTGTAAGTAAAAAAATATTAATTTTATAATGTCCCTTAATTTTTCTCAAAGCCCAAGAAAAACTTTCCAGCTGTCCTCTCTTGACAGCCTTGCCATCTACCCATGTCCATTGCATTATCTAATTTATGGAAGCTTCCCTATGACCGGATGTAACCATCTATCAATTGTCAACAATTGCACAAATCTATCAATAGTTTTAAAGTTGTCACACAGCATTAGTAACAGTTATTATTTTCTCCAGTTATTTTAAATAACAACTTGTTACTGTTATTTACAAACAACTACTTAGTTCATTACTAAAAATTACCCTACAAACCATTTTTAAAGTGCATTAACTGGAAATGAGCCTCTTCAAGGCACCAGATATATAAAATAAAATTATTGTAATTGAGCTGCAATTTGAAAAAATTTTAGACCTATAAATTTCCACTGTCCTCTACCCTTCTTTAATCTTGAGAACGGAGTCAGATAGATAAAAGATGAGACCAGATGTGGAAACCTTAGGAGTAGGAGGTCCTGATTAACTATATACAAACTGGAAGTCTCATTATTTCAATTCAAAACTTCCCCAAAAGGAGTTAACAGATGACTGGCATGACTCTATTATTAAAGGAAAAGTATGATGTATAAGGACAAGCCACTACTAATCTGAGATAGAGAGCATATATTTTAAATTTAAAAATTGCCACCTGGCATTGTGATGCTGTCACTCATTTTGGTTCTAAATTATTGTACAAGCTATCTCTGTTACCTACAGTATATTGTATTATACAACTGTAAAAAATTTTTTTATGATCTGTATAATTATGTATTAAAAAAAGTCTAATTATTATAAAATAACTAACAGGTGCACAGCACAATGCCACTAATATATAGCCTAAACAATATAGTCTAAATTAAATTCCTTTTATATTGCAAAATGGACTGTTCTTGTTACATTTAAATATAGTAGAGTGCCAGAAATTTGCCTCTCAATAATTCAACATTATGTAAAACTCGTCATGCTGTTTAAAAAAAAATACATGTAATTAATTTTTACCTGTATAACTTAACACTAGGACCAAATAAGCTAGAGTTCTTCATTGGCAACACTTGATAACAGCATGAATTCCAAGTGTTAACAAAGAATATAATCCTTTTTCCAAGATAACACTGAAACACAAATGTCAATAATTCAAAAGCAGTGACAAAATTAATGGTAGATACCAAAAGTGCAAAATTATTGTTTTTTTTCTGTATAATCACATACGTTATACTGTACATCAAACATAATTTCTGTACATCTAGTATCATCGTCCCTTACTGAAGTTTAGAAATGATTTAGGAATATGCTCTAAATATTTGTGTGCACTTTTTCAGGCATGCAACCTGCATGTTAAAGAATAGTGCTTCTTTAACATTGTTCCAGGACTTTACCTGGATGTTGTTGACATTCCCATCCTTTGTGTAATTTTTTGACATTCAAGAACTTTGTCCAGATTTCTGGACCTGTGGGAACCCTGAAATTTAAAAATGAATGAATTTCTCAACTTTACAAGAAATACACATATTTTCCTAACTATTACAAAATTCCAAGAATAACAAAGTAAAAACCAATTTACTTGTCTTCAACGTCTTTATTGTAATATAAATGCATTTTGATTCAATAATCCTCATCAGTATCACATATTCATTGGTGGAAGTAGTGATTTAATAGTATTAAATTTATGTATTTAGTTCTGGATTGTTAAACTTTTGCATAACAGTTTGTCACATGGATGAATTATCATTCACCACGTGTCATGTGACAATTTTAAGGCTTACTTTAGAAAAAGAAATTAAAATTAAATGAAATTTGTAACATTATCTTTCTTATACTGAAGAAAAACTTTTAAATTGCAACTAAATCATATTGTACAGTACAGGCAGCTTTCATTTTCTATATAGCACAGATAAAAATATAGTTAACTGCAGTAAACATTACTCATATGATCTGTGAATTTCCTAAGTTGTTAGGTGACTTTCACATATTGCAATGACAGATTTTGCTTCATTTTTTATTCCCACCCCCTTTCTGTATAAAATTTGTCATCATCATTGCCTCTCCTCCCCATATGTACAATAAATGTCAATTAACAACAGAATATTCCAAAATAAATGAAATATTTTGTATGCATACACACTTGGCTGACCTCCCCTCCTTGTGTCAGCATTCATCAACACCTCCCCATCTCGATGTTGCAATAAATGCATGCTGCCTTAGCCAATTCTGTAAGCTTTTTTTTTATTCTAAATGAACATATGGCACATTACTTTAATTTTTACATAACAACAATAATAAATCTTTTATATAATAGCTGTTATTTCAAGAATTGTTTATTAATTAAACTTTTATAGTTAAATTTATTGAATGAAATGTTTTTTAAAGGATATAATTCACAATCTTGTGGCAAGGGACATCCACCTGCTAGATCTTGCGTAAAAGTTGCATCTAAACACAACAGCCGAGTCAACCATGCTTCCACGTCGTCTCCATTGTGATAACGTATTGATTCGTTTAGAGTAATTTCATGTAATACTCTACCTAATATAAAATAGCCATTTTTAATAATTATTTCACAAGTGTTTCTTTTTATTTCAGAAATTTTGGTTATTACATTATAAACATTATCATACCTGTTGCTGAGGGCATTGTGCCAGACGACGAATTGCTCACAACGACTGTTTCCGAAGCATTGGATCCATAAGTTGCACTCTGCTGTCGCAATTGTTGTATAAGTTTAAGTGACAGCGATCTTCCAGTTCCTTCATATCTAATATCAAACAAAACTTTATGAATTATGGGAAACTATTATTAGAAAAGAATTAAATACAGTTCACTATAATTCAATTTAAAAGTTTGATTAATACATTTTTATTGAATTATCGTTATCTGTTATCAATACTATTGTTCAAGAAAAAGAATTTTAACAGTGCCAAAGCCAAAATTTTGCAGATAAATGAATTATAAAGAATTATTTTATAAAGAATCTTTTCAGAAAATATTTTTTTATTAGTTTTTTTGATAACTATCACTATTATTATCAAGTGGCCAAACATAAGAGTTTAGCATTCCTACGTATTCAATATCTTTAAGCTAACCAAGATGTTCTTTGTATAATGTAATATGGACAGTTAAAAAACTATTCATTGCAACATTTTATTTCTAAACTCAATTACTATTACACTAAAAAATAATTTTTAATTTGGAGGATTAAATTATGGCAGAATATATCTAACTTGCTTTATTTAGAATAAATAATTATACACAAGTATCATTAAAAAGTTTTGGTTAATGATTATTCTAAGAATACAAATATAAATAGAAAGACATGAAATAAAATTTCATCATCATGGAAGCAAAACAAGGTCTCAAAAAAATCTAATAATACAATATTCTACATCTGTACCTTGCTTACTTTACAAAAAATTGCTTTTTAATATCAAACAATTACCAGATTACAATGAGCCTTATTATAAGGCTACTATTTAATAATTAAATATCAAGTAATCCTGGCTAGAGTGGCGTCTCTTGATAAATTTAATAATTAATTTAGAAAGTTCTGGAAGAATTGGCCCAGAGTAGGACTTGCATCAATAATTCCCGCTTACCATGCTGGTGCATTGCCAATTATGTTATCCAGACTTCCATTCAATCTTGCCTCCAAAACTATTAATAATTTATATATCACCATACTAAACTTTTATTGATGGAATGTAATTTCTACAGCTATCTGTATTAAAATTTTTTGTAGAACAATCCATTCAATTTTAACAAATAAGTGATTAACTGTTTAAATTTATAATTTTTTTTAATTCACTTAAATTCAAGAAAATAAATTACTTCTGACAATACAACCTGGCTTAAAACTAATGAGTTCGTCTCTTTTTATTATATTCAATGTATAGACTTATTGAAAAATTTTTGTCTTTTTGTTTTTTCGCATAAGTTCCAAAGTTATCATCATACATTTGAACATTTGTAGCTTTATACCAACCGTTAAAATTTAATGGCTTGTTGTTTTAAGAAAAATTTAAATTTGAATGCAGTTGCCATAGAAATGCACATTCCATCGATGATAATCATGACATCAGTTTTTGTCATTGTTGTTCCCAGGGCTGTGGAGTCGCGTAAAAATCTACCGACTCCAACTCCGACTTTTCCTTATCATCCGACTCCGACTCCGGCTAAAACACCAAAACTCCATGATGCCAACTCTGACTCAACAGCCCTGCCAGGGCTGTGGAAGTCGCGTAAAAATCTACCGACTCTGACTCCGGCTAAAACATCAAAACTCCACGACTCCGACTCCACAACCCTGGTTGTTCCCAAAATTGGTAATTTTTGCAAAACTTAAGAAAAATAATCATTTTTGTAATACCGTTATATAAAACTTAACACGGAGTATTGTATTTTGCAGCATAATTTAAGTTGGGCCAAAGCATCAGAAATAATTTTCTTAAAAGATGCAAATGCGTAATTTTTTAACTGTATATCTATTGGTTTTCTTGAACTGAAACTCAAAAACTATTATAAAATTTTATTTCAGATGCAGCATTGACAAAATTTACTGAATAATGTTTATCTTTGATGAACAAACACTTTCCATTGCAAGTTAAATATACAAATTTCACTAATAGTACAAATCCATTTTGAAGATGGACAAAATTGGAAGTTAGGATTAGGTTGCTGCAGAAGTGAAAATTTAAAAGTTTATATTTTGGATTTGGAACAATAGAGTAAATATAGTTTGATGAAGTTTGCGTAATATTAAGCAAAAATACATTTTTCATTTTCTGTTATATTTGACAGTTTAGAGTTAATGTAGGCATAAAAATAAAATAAACATAAATTAAAATATTTAATAAAATTTAAAAAATTTCATAACAGATACTAAAAATATCTTCACTTATCACCATGTCCAATCACCAGGAACAACCATTCTTCATCGCAGAGACGACCTTTCTTTAGAGGCTACACCTCTGCAAAATTACTGTATTTATTCGCATATAAGACGAGGTTTTTATTCATTTTTGATTGCTTCAAAAGCTTAGTCCTATACGCACGAGTGAAGGATTCTTTGCGTTTTTGCAATAAGTTTTATGTACCGTATGTTCGCATTTTTTACTGGATGATCACCCTCTGGTGTTTGAAAACAAAAGTATTTTATTTGGGTCATTTCAATAGTTCTTGTGTATTGTCAGGAGTAAAGATGAATAGCAATAGGGAAAACAAAGCTTTTGGATTGAATTCCAATTTGAAATTCTAAAATTACACAGGAGCCCAATATAAGTTTTAATCCATTCCCAGATGAAAACAGATGATTATTCGGAAATCAGAATTCGGAGAAACTCGTAAGTGTAATCGATGGAGAGTGGATTCGACCATTAAGAATTGGCAAAAAAAGTTCCAGATTGTCCAGCTTTACATGAACAAATTATGTTGTCAATTTTACAACATTTTTCCTTAAAGTTTAAAATGCTAGTAATTTTTGCAGGACAATGTGTGCATTTACGTGTATTTGTGATTAAACAAAATAAAATTAAATTGTATTAATAAATCTAATTTTCTTTATTTTGATCTTTAAAGTCACACCTCATCCTATATGCAAGATCGTCTTATAAGTGAGTAAATACAAGGTCTGTTCAAAAAATACGTGGACTGACGTCATAAAACAAAATGTACTTTATGTAGAAGTTACATGTCTGGGTCCCCTTCAAAGTACTCTCCTTCCCAATGCATACACTTATTCCAACAGTGTTTCCACTTGTTGAAACAGTCCTAGTATGCTTCTTTTGTAATGTCTTCCATCACCTTCATCGCATTTGCCTTAATCTTGGGAATCGTCTCAAATCTTCTTCTTTTCAAGGGTCTTTTAAGTTTGGGGAATAAGAAAAAGTCACAAGGAGCAAGGTCAGGTGAGTAGCAGGGTGGGGAAGAACAGTGATAGAGTGTTAGGCCAAAAACTCACGAGTTCTGAGGGCTGAATGGGCTGGAGCATTGTTGTGATGTAGAAACCAATTGCCACTCCTCCACATTTCTGTCCTTTTGCAACGGATGGCATCCCTCAGACGTTTCAGAACTTCAACATACTAAGTCTGGTTCACTGTGGAACCTTGGGGAGATACTCGTGGTGAACAATACCCTTAGCATTAAAGAAAACTGTCAGCATCATCTTGACATTGGATCGAACTTGGCGAGCTTTTTTGGGTCTGGGGGACGTTTCACCCACCCACTGGTTGAGCATAGCAAATGTTTCAGTTGCAGATTTTCCAAGTTTAACACAAAATTTCACAGCAAGTCATTGGGTCATTCATTCTGAAATCTGACAAACGAAAAAATCACACTTCACTAAAAACCNTTTTTTAAAGTGCTAAATTTTTAATAATAACTGATAATAAATTATTATTATTATTATTATTATATTTCATACCAAAGAAAATAAAGCTCAGATCATTTCAGACTTGTTTTGTATACAATAAAATCTATTGTTGAGAAAAATTTAATATCTTAATTTTTCATATTAAAAAAATTAAATCACTCACCTGAATAACACACAAAACTTTGGGCAACTGTTTTACGTTAGGATTTACTGGCGGAAGCAAACAGAACAAGTGATGGGCTGGTGCATCAGACATAAGTTGCAAATCGTTTGGAGAATTTTTGTAGTGTGAAGCCACAAAGAGAGCCATAATCTTCTGGAGAAATGCTTCTGAAACTTTATGATAACTGAAAAGAGTGTCACGATTGATATAATACGTAATCTAGTTAAAGAATCAAAAGTTTGATACTATGAACTAAGCAATAATTCATAATTCTGAAGTTTCTGGATTACTAAAAATAAAAAAGTTGGATAGAATAAAGATTTTCACTGTATACAGATTGTTGTTCTGATTTTAGATGTTGAATAATTCTGATAATATGAACAGCAAAATAAGATTGTACATTATTATGCAGTAAAACAATGATATATTTGGAGAAGAAACTGTGCCATAAATTTTCTATACTGTATTGCTAAAATTGAACCAGAAAATGACTTTGCTATTAATAAAGAACATGGTCACAGTCAGTAATCCTCAAAATCTGTCTATATAATGTATTAGACTATTCCATAAGTAATACAATTTTTAATATGTACAAATAGCTGATAAAAACTGTAAACAACATGCAGGTATTAATGTGTAACTATCACTGTGATAATCAATTCATCTTTTGAAAGCCATTCTGTACACTAGTATATCTATATCAGTTTTTAAGTACATAAAGTAATGAATTGTATAATAAGCATATTTGGCATATCTTGTTTTATGAGCTTAAAAAAGGAAATAACAACTATTGTGACTCAAAATTTACACAAGGTTCAAAGATTTTTTTTACAAAGCACAGTTAAAGCAAATTCCCCTTTTTGAACAAACGAAATGCATAGGTTTCTTTATTAATAAAAAGCAGCCTTAAAGATTTTCTGTAAGTAAAAAAATATTAATTTTATAATGTCCCTTAATTTTTCTCAAAGCCCAAGAAAAACTTTCCAGCTGTCCTCTCTTGACAGCCTTGCCATCTACCCATGTCCATTGCATTATCTAATTTATGGAAGCTTCCCTATGACCGGATGTAACCATCTATCAATTGTCGACAATTGCACAAATCTATCAATAGTTTTAAAGTTGTCACACAGCATTAGTAACAGTTATTATTTTCTCCAGTTATTTTAAATAACAACTTGTTACTGTTATTTACAAACAACTACTTAGTTCATTACTAAAAATTACCCTACAAACCATTTTTAAAGTGCATTAACTGGAAATGAGCCTCTTCAAGGCACCAGATATACAAAATAAAATTATTGTAATTGAGCTGCAATTTGAAAAAATTTTAGACCTATAAATTTCCACTGTCCTCTACCCTTCTTTAATCTTGAGAACGGAGTCAGATAGATAAAAGATGAGACCAGATGTGGAAACCTTAGGAGTAGGAGGTCGTGATTAACTATATACAAACTGGAAGTCTCATTATTTCAATTCAAAACTTCCCCAAAAGGAGTTAACAGATGACTGGCATGACTCTATTATTAAAGGAAAAGTATGATGTATAAGGACAAGCCACTACTAATCTGAGATAGAGAGCATATATTTTAAATTTAAAAATTGCCACCTGGCATTGTGATGCTGTCACTCATTTTGGTTCTAAATTATTGTACAAGCTATCTCTGTTACCTACAGTATATTGTATTATACAACTGTAAAAAATTTTTTTATGATCTGTATAATTATGTATTAAAAAAAGTCTAATTATTATAAAATAACTAACAGGTGCACAGCACAATGCCACTAATATATAGCCTAAACAATATAGTCTAAATTAAATTCCTTTTATATTGCAAAATGGACTGTTCTTGTTACATTTAAATATAGTAGAGTGCCAGAAATTTGCCTCTCAATAATTCAACATTATGTAAAACTCGTCATGCTGTTTAAAAAAAAATACATGTAATTAATTTTTACCTGTATAACTTAACACTAGGACCAAATAAGCTAGAGTTCTTCATTGGCAACACTTGATAACAGCATGAATTCCAAGTGTTAACAAAGAATATAATTCTTTTTTCCAAGATAACACTGAAACACAAATGTCAATAATTCAAAAGCAGTGACAAAATTAATGGTAGATACCAAAAGTGCAAAATTATTGTTTTTTTTCTGTATAATCACATACGTTATACTGTACATCAAACATAATTTCTGTACATCTAGTATCATCGTCCCTTACTGAAGTTTAGAAATGATTTAGGAATATGCTCTAAATATTTGTGTGCACTTTTTCAGGCATGCAACCTGCATGTTAAAGAATAGTGCTTCTTTAACATTGTTCCAGGACTTTACCTGGATGTTGTTGACATTCCCATCCTTTGTGTAATTTTTTGACATTCAAGAACTTTGTCCAGATTTCTGGACCTGTGGGAACCCTGAAATTTAAAAATGAATGAATTTCTCAACTTTACAAGAAATACACATATTTTCCTAACTATTACAAAATTCCAAGAATAACAAAGTAAAAACCAATTTACTTGTCTTCAACGTCTTTATTGTAATATAAATGCATTTTGATTCAATAATCCTCATCAGTATCACATATTCATTGGTGGAAGTAGTGATTTAATAGTATTAAATTTATGTATTTAGTTCTGGATTGTTAAACTTTTGCATAACAGTTTGTCACATGGATGAATTATCATTCACCACGTGTCATGTGACAATTTTAAGGCTTACTTTAGAAAAAGAAATTAAAATTAAATGAAATTTGTAACATTATCTTTCTTATACTGAAGAAAAACTTTTAAATTGCAACTAAATCATATTGTACAGTACAGGCAGCTTTCATTTTCTATATAGCACAGATAAAAATATAGTTAACTGCAGTAAACATTACTCATATGATCTGTGAATTTCCTAAGTTGTTAGGTGACTTTCACATATTGCAATGACAGATTTTGCTTCATTTTTTATTCCCACCCCCTTTCTGTATAAAATTTGTCATCATCATTGCCTCTCCTCCCCATATGTACAATAAATGTCAATTAACAACAGAATATTCCAAAATAAATGAAATATTTTGTATGCATACACACTTGGCTGACCTCCCCTCCTCGTGTCAGCATTCATCAACACCCTCCCCATCTTGATGTTGCAATAAATGCATGCTGCCTTAGTCAATTCTGTAAGCTTTCTTTTTTTTATTCTAAATGAACATATGGCACATTACTTTAATTTTTACATAACAACAATAATAAATCTTTTATATAACAGCTGTTATTTCAAGAATTGTTTATTAATTAAACTTTTATAGTTAAATTTATTGAATGAAATGTTTTTTAAAGGATATAATTCACAATCTTGTGGCAAGGGACATCCACCTGCTAGATCTTGCGTAAAAGTTGCATCTAAACACAACAGCCGAGTCAACCATGCTTCCACGTCGTCTCCATTGTGATAACGTATTGATTCGTTTAGAGTAATTTCATGTAATACTCTACCTAATATAAAATAGCCATTTTTAATAATTATTTCACAAGTGTTTCTTTTTATTTCAGAAATTTTGGTTATTACATTATAAACATTATCATACCTGTTGCTGAGGGCATTGTGCCAGACGACGAATTGCTCACGACGACTGTTTCCGAAGCATTGGATCCATAAGTTGCACTCTGCTGTCGCAATTGTTGTATAAGTTTAAGTGACAGCGATCTTCCAGTTCCTTCATATCTAATATCAAACAAAACTTTATGAATTACGGGAAACTATTATTAGAAAAGAATTAAATACAGTTCACTATAATTCAATTTAAAAGTTTGATTAATACATTTTTATTGAATTATCGTTATCTGTTATCAATACTATTGTTCAAGAAAAAGAATTTTAACAGTGCCAAAGCCAAAATTTTGCAGATAAATGAATTATAAAGAATTATTTTATAAAGAATCTTTTCAGAAAATATTTTTTTATTAGTTTTTTTGATAACTATCACTATTATTATCAAGTGGCCAAACATAAGAGTTTAGCATTCCTACGTATTCAATATCTTTAAGCTAACCAAGATGTTCTTTGTATAATGTAATATGGACAGTTAAAAAACTATTCATTGCAACATTTTATTTCTAAACTCAATTACTATTACACTAAAAAATAATTTTTAATTTGGAGGATTAAATTATGGCAGAATATATCTAACTTGCTTTATTTAGAATAAATAATTATACACAAGTATCATTAAAAAGTTTTGGTTAATGATTATTCTAAGAATACAAATATAAATAGAAAGACATGAAATAAAATTTCATCATCATGGAAGCAAAACAAGGTCTCAAAAAAATCTAATAATACAATATTCTACATCTGTACCTTGCTTACTTTACAAAAAATTGCTTTTTAATATCAAACAATTACCAGATTACAATGAGCCTTATTATAAGGCTACTATTTAATAATTAAATATCAAGTAATCCTGGCTAGAGTGGCGTCTCTTGATAAATTTAATAATTAATTTAGAAAGTTCTGGAAGAATTGGCCCAGAGTAGGACTTGCATCAATAATTCCCGCTTACCATGCTGGTGCATTGCCAATTATGTTATCCAGACTTCCATTCAATCTTGCCTCCAAAACTATTAATAATTTATATATCACCATACTAAACTTTTATTGATGGAATGTAATTTCTACAGCTATCTGTATTAAAATTTTTTGTAGAACAATCCATTCAATTTTAACAAATAAGTGATTAACTGTTTAAATTTATAATTTTTTTTAATTCACTTAAATTCAAGAAAATAAATTACTTCTGACAATACAACCTGGCTTAAAACTAATGAGTTCGTCTCTTTTTATTATATTCAATGTATAGACTTATTGAAAAATTTTTGTCTTTTTGTTTTTTCGCATAAGTTCCAAAGTTATCATCATACATTTGAACATTTGTAGCTTTATACCAACCGTTAAAATTTAATGGCTTGTTGTTTTAAGAAAAATTTAAATTTGAATGCAGTTGCCATAGAAATGCACATTCCATCGATGATAATCATGACATCAGTTTTTGTCATTGTTGTTCCCAGGGCTGTGGAGTCGCGTAAAAATCTACCGACTCCAACTCCGACTTTTCCTTATCATCCGACTCCGACTCCGGCTAAAACACCAAAACTCCATGATGCCAACTCTGACTCAACAGCCCTGCCAGGGCTGTGGAAGTCGCGTAAAAATCTACCGACTCTGACTCCGGCTAAAACATCAAAACTCCACGACTCCGACTCCACAACCCTGGTTGTTCCCAAAATTGGTAATTTTTGCAAAACTTAAGAAAAATAATCATTTTTGTAATACCGTTATATAAAACTTAACACGGAGTATTGTATTTTGCAGCATAATTTAAGTTGGGCCAAAGCATCAGAAATAATTTTCTTAAAAGATGCAAATGCGTAATTTTTTAACTGTATATCTATTGGTTTTCTTGAACTGAAACTCAAAAACTATTATAAAATTTTATTTCAGATGCAGCATTGACAAAATTTACTGAATAATGTTTATCTTTGATGAACAAACACTTTCCATTGCAAGTTAAATATACAAATTTCACTAATAGTACAAATCCATTTTGAAGATGGACAAAATTGGAAGTTAGGATTAGGTTGCTGCAGAAGTGAAAATTTAAAAGTTTATATTTTGGATTTGGAACAATAGAGTAAATATAGTTTGATGAAGTTTGCGTAATATTAAGCAAAAATACATTTTTCATTTTCTGTTATATTTGACAGTTTAGAGTTAATGTAGGCATAAAAATAAAATAAACATAAATTAAAATATTTAATAAAATTTAAAAAATTTCATAACAGATACTAAAAATATCTTCACTTATCACCATGTCCAATCACCAGGAACAACCATTCTTCATCGCAGAGACGACCTTTCTTTAGAGGCTACACCTCTGCAAAATTACTGTATTTATTCGCATATAAGACGAGGTTTTTATTCATTTTTGATTGCTTCAAAAGCTTAGTCCTATACGCACGAGTGAAGGATTCTTTGCGTTTTTGCAATAAGTTTTATGTACCGTATGTTCGCATTTTTTACTGGATGATCACCCTCTGGTGTTTGAAAACAAAAGTATTTTATTTGGGTCATTTCAATCGTTCTTGTGTATTGTCAGGAGTAAAGATGAATAGCAATAGGGAAACAAAGCTTTTGGATTGAATTCCAATTTGAAATTCTAAAATTACACAGGAGTCCAATATAAGTTTTAATCCATTCCCAGATGAAAACAGATGATTATTCGGAAATCAGAATTCGGAGAAACTCGTAAGTGTAATCGATGGAGAGTGGATTCGACCATTAAGAATTGGCAAAAAAAGTTCCAGATTGTCCAGCTTTACATGAACAAATTATGTTGTCAATTTTACAAGATTTTTCCTTAAAGTTTAAAATGCTAGTAATTTTTGCAGGACAATGTGTGCATTTACATGTATTTGTGATTAAACAAAATAAAATTAAATTGTATTAATAAATCTAATTTTCTTTATTTTGATCTTTAAAGTCACACCTCATCCTATATGCAAGATCGTCTTATAAGTGAGTAAATACAAAGTCTGTTCAAAAAATACGTGGACTGACGTCATAAAACAAAATGTACTTTATGTAGAAGTTACATGTCTGGGTCCCCTTCAAAGTACTCTCCTTCCCAATGCATACACTTATTCCAACAGTGTTTCCACTTGTTGAAACAGTCCTAGTATGCTTCTTTTGTAATGTCTTCCATCACCTTCATCGCATTTGCCTTAATCTTGGGAATCGTCTCAAATCTTCTTCTTTTCAAGGGTCTTTTAAGTTTGGGGAATAAGAAAAAGTCACAAGGAGCAAGGTCAGGTGAGTAGCAGGGTGGGGAAGAACAGTGATAGAGTGTTAGGCCAAAAACTCACGAGTTCTGAGGGCTGAATGGGCTGGAGCATTGTTGTGATGTAGAAACCAATTGCCACTCCTCCACATTTCTGTCCTTTTGCAACGGATGGCATCCCTCAGACGTTTCAGAACTTCAACATACTAAGTCTGGTTCACTGTGGAACCTTGGGGAGATACTCGTGGTGAACAATACCCTTAGCATTAAAGAAAACTGTCAGCATCATCTTGACATTGGATCGAACTTGGCGAGCTTTTTTGGGTCTGGGGGACGTTTCACCCACCCACTGGTTGAGCATAGCAAATGTTTCAGTTGCAGATTTTCCAAGTTTAACACAAAATTTCACAGCAAGTCATTGGGTCATTCATTCTGAAATCTGACAAACGAAAAAATCACACTTCACTAAAAACCGCTTAGCTAATCGACAAATAAAGATATCTGTAATCAGGAAACGGCTTTATCACCAGATGATCTGTACAAACCTACCAACACCAAGCTGATTCCCCTGGAACAAACTAGAGCCGTGCAATTTAAACAGTCTGCGTATTTTTTGAACAGACCTCATACGGTATGTAAAACAGTCTAAAAGTCCACAGGTGACAATCCCAACACAATTAAAAATATATTTTTACAAAAGAAATATATTTTTATTATATACAATACAATGACAATACAATACAATTATTCTATTATATATTTATTATAATATACAATTAAAAATATATTTTTAATTGTGTTGGGATTGTCACCTGTGGACTTTTAGACTGTTTTACATAATTTTGCAGAGTACACCTCTGCAAAATTCTGCTTCTAAAGAAAGGTCGTCTCTGCGATGAAGAATTGTTGTTCCTGGTGATTGGACATGGCAATAAGTGAAAAAATTTTAGTATCTGTTACAAAATTTTATAAATTTTATTAAACTGTAATTTCACCAGCCATTTTTACAATATAAATTAAAATATTGTTTATACAAGGCAAGAAATTTCCAGATACATGCATATATTTTCTGATTTGTATTCAGTTCCTGAAGATGAACATAACCCAAGAATCTTCACACCATATTTATTACCATTTATTTGCTCCAAATAAAACAAGTTAAATGTATTTTGGCATATTTTTGAAGTTTATTGCTAATAGTCAAAAGATAATAGTGTAACTGCAACTATCAGAATGAATTCAAATAAAATGTTCAAAATTGCTCAGCATCTAAAAATAAGTACAGTTTGTTTATTATAATATTTGCAAAATATAACATTAATCTTACCCATTAATAGTTGAAGACATAAACACTAAATATGGTCCAAGAAGATTCTTTACTAATGGAAGGGGAATTGCAGCCGCTTCGTCGATCACCAGTAGTTCGGCCTGGCCCAATTTACTTGCATCTGTTGGGTGAATGTATTGGACGGTCTGACGGTGGTCATGAAATACATTTATTCTGACAACTGCTTTGTTAAATTCCGGATTGGTAGACTGAATAATTTCATAATCAAGATGTTCCTGAATAAAATAGAAACATTATTAATTGTTTACCTTGTTTTAGTTAAATATTTAACTCAGTATTGATGTAGTGAAATATTTTAAGATGCCATATGTGTGAATTTTGAGATCGTTTGCTTATATACTGTTTCTAATGCCCTTATTCTTCTCGCTTATTAAAATGTCCAAATTACATTATGCCAATCAAAAATGAGTTATCATTATTGGAATAAGTTATCAAGAATCGTGGAGAATGATTGCAGATTCAGGTTATTGTGTAATAATCCTTTTTGGAGTCCTAAAATTATAGGGCCCTATAGCAAACATTAGGACTGCTTAGTTATCTAGACATCTGTGATCAAAAATCGCAAAATTTAGAAATTGAAAAAATAAAACAGGAATGAGTAGCATACAAAAATAATAAAAAGAAAATGCAATCCCACTGGTCAGGTCTTTCTGACTGTAAGTGAAATAATTAAGGTATTTAATTTTATATTATTATAGAACATTTTAAAATATATAAAGAGAAATCTTTGTCATCTAATTTATCAAATGTTCATCATACTCAATTTTTCCCTCTTTCTATGCTTTTTAACCAATTTTCCTGTATATTTTTGCAATATAAAAGATCTATTTAAATGAATTCAGGACTTTTTTGATATATTTGAATAAATTTTAAGAATTCGAAATTTTTTATTAATCCTCTCCAAACCATGTTTATAATACGAAAATGTATCAAAGTGAAGTAACATGAAATATTTAACATTATTAATGGCTTTTTAAAGAAATTAATTTTTATTAAATTAAACTCATTTATCTTATTTTATCAAAATTATTCAGGGAAAATTTTTGAATTGAAATAATGTAACTTCCAGTGCAAGCTGGCATTGTAACAACATCGCAATAATTTTGTCAATTTTCTTATTTATTCTTCTTCTCAAGTTAATTTTGTATTTAAAAATCTTCAAACTTACTTGATAATGAAGGGCATCAAATCCTTTTAATATAAATTCAAACAGCGTTTTCAAATTTTCAGGACTGGGAGAAGTGACAAAAATGTTCGAATAGTTAAAAGCAATGGCACCGGCAATGGCCAGTCCTAATGCTGCAGACTTTCCTCTACCCCTGGGAGCAGTCAGAGCCACAGTGCTTCTCAATGTTTTCTCAGAAATGGAATCTATAAATTTCAGAAGAGCTTTTGCTTGGTCGAGCGTCCGACAGCAATTAACAAGCACTCCAACTGGTTGTGTATCTTGTAGAGATTCTTTCAAATTTTTTAATTCTTTAGCCTCTTCACTTAAGTCATCCTAATTATCAAACAGTTGTTATTTTAAAATATAAAGGATACTACTTACTAAAGTATATCATATTCCTCATACTTACAGTTGCTCTAGGAGGGATTGCTTTTATATTTGCAGCATGCGAGGAAAGAGGTAAAATATTTAATTGATCATCTACAACCAAACATTTTTTGCAAGATGTTAATGAAAGAATGAATCTCTCATTAAATCTTCCAACCACATCTTGATGAGCCTCTGTTCGAAATCGTGCATGAACGTCCTAGAAATAAACAAAATTATATAATCTTAAGTAGGAATAAAATGAATAGCAATTCTCCAAGTACAGTAGAACCTCCATTATCCGGATTTTCGATTATCTGGATTGTTCAAAATAAACAAAAATTTTACGAATTTGCTGATTTGCACTTGGCGAATTATGACAATGTTTATGTACGTGATGGAATGCATAACTTTTTTTGTTTCAACAACGTCTCACCCATCACAGTGGTCNTCCCCAACTCGATGTTGCAATAAATGCATGCTGCCTTAGCCAATTCTGTAAGCTTTTTTTTTATTCTAAATGAACATATGGCACATTACTTTAATTTTTACATAACAACAATAATAAATCTTTTATATAACAGCTGTTATTTCAAGAATTGTTTATTAATTAAACTTTTATAGTTAAATTTATTGAATGAAATGTTTTTTAAAGGATATAATTCACAATCTTGTGGCAAGGGACATCCACCTGCTAGATCTTGCGTAAAAGTTGCATCTAAACACAACAGCCGAGTCAACCATGCTTCCACATCGTCTCCATTGTGATAACGTATTGATTCGTTTAGAGTAATTTCATGTAATACTCTACCTAATATAAAATAGCCATTTTTAATAATTATTTCACAAGTGTTTCTTTTTATTTCAGAAATTTTGGTTATTACATTATAAACATTATCATACCTGTTGCTGAGGGCATTGTGCCAGACGACGAATTGCTCACAACGACTGTTTCCGAAGCATTGGATCCATAAGTTGCACTCTGCTGTCGCAATTGTTGTATAAGTTTAAGTGACAGCGATCTTCCAGTTCCTTCATATCTAATATCAAACAAAACTTTATGAATTATGGGAAACTATTATTAGAAAAGAATTAAATACAGTTCACTATAATTCAATTTAAAAGTTTGATTAATACATTTTTATTGAATTATCGTTATCTGTTATCAATACTATTGTTCAAGAAAAAGAATTTTAACAGTGCCAAAGCCAAAATTTTGCAGATAAATGAATTATAAAGAATTATTTTATAAAGAATCTTTTCAGAAAATATTTTTTTATTAGTTTTTTTGATAACTATCACTATTATTATCACGTGGCCAAACATAAGAGTTTAGCATTCCTACGTATTCAATATCTTTAAGCTAACCAAGATGTTCTTTGTATAATGTAATATGGACAGTTAAAAAACTATTCATTGCAACATTTTATTTCTAAACTCAATTACTATTACACTAAAAAATAATTTTAAATTTGGAGGATTAAATTATGACAAAATATATCTAACTTGCTTTATTTGGAATAAATAATTATACACAAGTATCATTAAAAAGTTTTGGTTAATGATTATTCTAAGAAGACAAATATAAATAGAAAACATGAAATAAAATTTCATCATCATGGAAGCAAAACAAGGTCTCAAAAAAATCTAATAATACAATATTCTACATCTGTACCTTGCTTACTTTACAAAAAATTGCTTTTTAATATCAAACAATTACCAGATTACAATGAGCCTTATTATAAGGCTACTATTTAATAATTAAATATCAAGTAATCCTGGCTAGAGTGGCGTCTCTTGATAAATTTAATAATTAATTTAGAAAGTTCTGGAAGAATTGGCCCAGAGTAGGACTTGCATCAATAATTCCCGCTTACCATGCTGGTGCATTGCCAATTATGTTATCCAGACTTCCATTCAATCTTGCCTCCAAAACTATTAATAATTTATATATCACCATACTAAACTTTTATTGATGGAATGTAATTTCTACAGCTATCTGTATTAAAATTTTTTGTAGAACAATCCATTCAATTTTAACAAATAAGTGATTAACTGTTTAAATTTATAATTTTTTTTAATTCACTTAAATTCAAGAAAATAAATTACTTCTGACAATACAACCTGGCTTAAAACTAATGAGTTCGTCTCTTTTTATTATATTCAATGTATAGACTTATTGAAAAATTTTTGTCTTTTTGTTTTTTCGCATAAGTTCCAAAGTTATCATCATACATTTGAACATTTGTAGCTTTATACCAACCGTTAAAATTTAATGGCTTGTTGTTTTAAGAAAAATTTAAATTTGAATGCAGTTGCCATAGAAATGCACATTCCATCGATGATAATCATGACATCAGTTTTTGTCATTGTTGTTCCCAGGGCTGTGGAAGTCGCGTAAAAATCTACCGACTCTGACTCTGGCTAAAACATCAAAACTCCACGACTCCGACTCCACAACCCTGGTTGTTCCCAAAATTGGTAATTTTTGCAAAACTTAAGAAAAATAATCATTTTTGTAATACCGTTATATAAAACTTAACACGGAGTATTGTATTTTGCAGCATAATTTAAGTTGGGCCAAAGCATCAGAAATAATTTTCTTAAAAGATGCAAATGCGTAATTTTTTAACTGTATATCTATTGGTTTTCTTGAACTGAAACTCAAAAACTATTATAAAATTTTATTTCAGATGCAGCATTGACAAAATTTACTGAATAATGTTTATCTTTGATGAACAAACACTTTCCATTGCAAGTTAAATATACAAATTTCACTAATAGTACAAATCCATTTTGAAGATGGACAAAATTGGAAGTTAGGATTAGGTTGCTGCAGAAGTGAAAATTTAAAAGTTTATATTTTGGATTTGGAACAATAGAGTAAATATAGTTTGATGAAGTTTGCGTAATATTAAGCAAAAATACATTTTTCATTTTCTGTTATATTTGACAGTTTAGAGTTAATGTAGGCATAAAAATAAAATAAACATAAATTAAAATATTTAATAAAATTTAAAAAATTTCATAACAGATACTAAAAATATCTTCACTTATCACCATGTCCAATCACCAGGAACAACCATTCTTCATCGCAGAGACGACCTTTCTTTAGAGGCTACACCTCAGCAAAATTACTGTATTTACTTGCATATAAGACGAGGTTTTTATTCATTTTTGATTGCTTCAAAAGCCTAGGTCGTCCTATACGCACGAGCGAAAGATTCTTTGCGTTTTTGCAATAAGTTTTATGTACCGTATGTTCGCATTTTTTACTGGATGATCACCCTCTGGTGTTTGAAAACAAAAGTATTTTATTTGGGTCATTTCAATAGTTCTTGTGTATTGTCAGGAGTAAAGATGAATAGCAATAGGGAAAACAAAGCTTTTGGATTGAATTCCAATTTGAAATTCTAAAATTACACAGGAGCCCAATATAAGTTTTAATCCATTCCCAGATGAAAANCCCAGCACAGTGGTCGTAAACTCTTAAATATATTTTACGTAGTAATAAAAATATAACTTGACATACGTATTTATAAATAATTTATATTCAAATTACATCATTTCTATGACCAAGGGCGGCGTAAGGCATGGACAACGTGGGCCACCACCTATGCCTCGCGGTCGAAGGGCCTTGCGCCTCGAAGGTTTATGCATTACTTAAAAGCCGTGAACGTGACAAAAAAAATTTACTCGTCGTAAAACAATAAATAGTTTGTCAAATTTTTATTCATAAAAATGCAGTTTCAACTGCTTTTTATTTTATAAAATTTGTCTTCTCGTGCTACCAGAGGGCCTTTTAAACAATAGGTAGTATGTTAGCGTTGGTCAGTAGTAGTCCAAATGCAATACGAACGTTTGTTTCTTGAAAATTTGATCACGATTTAAACACAGTATTTACTTTTAATATTACCGATCGAGAAGAAAACGTGTTGTATTATCATTAAAAGACAAAGTATTTGTTTCGATTATCCGGATTTTTCCTTATCCGGACTACCTTCATCCCCAATTAGTCCGGATAATCGAGGTTCTACTGTATCAAGTATTTTGACAACACCAAGTTGAGCAATTTGGTTATTTAGCAGCAAAATATATTTAAATATCCTATATGTAAAAAATTAGAACTTCAACAGTAAGTAATAAATAGCAAACAGATTATTTGATTAGAATTTTATCAACAAATAAATTGTTTATGTAAAATCTAGATTCTATAAAAGTATTTTCATATAACAGAATTTAGGCATTTTAATTATCAACAAATCTATTATTATCATAGATCAAATTTTTCCAAAATAAATCAAGATGAATTGCTTTCTTAAAACATTTGAGAATTTATTGAAAAATTATTTCTAAATAAATTGACACAAGTATAAAAATGACTGAAAAACTCTTTCTTCTGTGTATCTGTAGTTTCTGATATATAATGTATGATAATTTTGTAACATCATTTTGTAGATTTCTGAGCAAGCAGTAGCTTTTTGAAAATAACCTCATGATCTTTAGAAGATACAGTCAAAAGCAAACAGATATTTCAGAGGACATCAATCTGTAATCTTTGTACAGGAAATTTTCTGATTACCAAATTTGATGAAACTATTATTTTCAGTGTTTGATATAATAATATTAATAACAAATAATTAGTTATAACTTCACAAGTATAAAATGCATTTAGAAATAAATTTTTATAAGAAACCATGAGCAAAACTAAAACTGTATAATATTTGTTTAATTTCTTCAAATTTCCATTGTAAATCATTACAACGGTGTTGCAAGCTGTCATACTCATGACATGTTACCAGAAATTAGCTAATTCATCAACAAATTTAACGACATTCTTGGTGGTTTCTGTTGTGCTTGGTGTGACCAATAGTGTATATGTCATTTTGGACACTTACTAATTATGACATTGAATATAGTTGAAGTTGAAACTAATTCAGCATAGTAAATAACCTAATATGTAGAAATGCTTAAAGATTTAGTAGAAGAACTAATGCATGTGGAATATTGGACTCAAAAAGTCAGTATAAATGACAATCTGTTGGAACAAGAAATGGATGAGCTAAATATTGTTGTGGTAAATATAAAACATATATTTTTAAACATCAGAAAAACTCAGGTATGTTGCACGCTTCAAAAAAAATATGAGATTTTAGAGAATGAGGGAAAATTAACACTCTTTCCCATGCCACAACATTTTGCAATAAACTGCATTCCTTTTTTGATCTCAAGTCATGTCTTAAGATTTTTCAAAGATGAGGGTCAAGGTATCAATGATCTGACACTCACTATATAATGACCTCATTAGAAAAACAGAACCTTTCTCTGAAGAACATAAGAATGGAATAGACATGGATACTGGTCACAGATAACAAAAACAACAGTCTTACCTGGATACTGTTTGCTAAACCTTTGCAACCATAATACAAAATATGAGGACTTAAAGAAAGAACAAATATCAATGACACTAGCTGAGGAGCTACAGACCAGCCAGAGTGCAACTCCCAGATGGCAGGAAGCTGAAATCCCCATATCAGACACAAGGGTTCTTTCTATCAGAACAGTCAAATGACATTCTATAATGATATCTATCCTCCCTCTGCTGTACAAAGAAAGTAATGAACGGGACATGTGGATCTGGTTAAACCTTTTGTGGACTCCCTGACATTGTCTACACATCCCAAATTAATTTTAATTTGCCATGGACCACATCATCGGTTCCAAGGATCCCAAGGGTCTACAGAAACCACTTTGAGAAACATTGCTTTGGACAGATGAATTGCTTTTCATTTGCAATGAGGTCCTAAATAGACATGCACCACTGATCAGCATGTAACATACATTGTACTTAAGGAACAAAACATCAAATTAATTTTTCCCTGAACATGTGGTATGGAATTTGGAAAAATCATCTCATTAATGCTGTTTTCCTTGGACACTTACTGGAGTAAAGTATCTGCTTTTCTTCAAAACTACAATTGATGGACTACTGGACAATCTCACCCTATGCCAACACCAGCATGTTTGGTTTCAATGTGACAGTGCACCACTGCATGCTTCTAGAGAAGTTCAATGACAACTTAATGACCATTTTAGAGAAGAATGAATTGGTTCACATTGTCCACTGCAATGGCCTCCTTCATCCATTGATCTTATTCCTATGGGTTGTTTTTTGTGAGATATTTAAAATTCCTTAGATCTTGAAAGGAAAATTCTGAAAACCTGTCAAACATTAACTTTAGATGTAATTTCCCATATTCATGATTCAACAATTAAATGAATACATGTGTGTTAATGTTAATGCAGACAGGTTTAAGCAATTACTTTGAGATACTGCTAAATGGAAATGCTTACATTTTTAAGTACAACACACACAAAAAACCAAACATTCAACAAAAGAAATGTAAAATTTAATGATAACAAATGGAACTCTAGTTCTATCTGTAACAGGTGGTGAGATAATTTTACCCTATCTTTTTTTGTGAAGTAAGGAAAATCCATTGATGCACAAATGAATTTGTAATGACGTATATAAGCAAGAATTGTTTACATGAATTTTACAGTTTTTTCTGAGCTATTAATCTGTATCACTTTTTAGCAGACACCATGTACATACATCAAAAATACCGTACTTTCCGACGTATAAAACAACCCGACTTTTGAGATTTTCCTGGGTTAAAAAATCATCTTATATGCCGGAAAATATGGTAAGTCTTTATATTCAATTGTAAATGTATCAATAAATTATTACACGAATTTAAATAACTTACCATTGTAAGAGTGTATAACTGTTTAAGAGATGTCAGAGTGCGAAGCAATATAACAATTATTCCTCCACCTTCAATTGTCTCTATGGTACGAGCCAATAAATTTGGCGTGAATGCTTCAAAATCTTGGAGGATCAACATTCCATAAGTATTTCCAAGAATTTTGTGTGTTTCACTAGAAAAATTAAAATCAGAAAGTAATCATAAACTTGTCAAAAATTAGCATAACTCATCAACACAAAATTTTGAATTACATAAAATTAATTACCTGTAATAACAGAATCTGATTTGAGTTGCAGCAATAAATAAATCAAACGGATCATCTTCATTCAGTTCCATTTTATTGTTTTTTAATTTTTTCTGTATCTGTCGCATCTTTTTCTTTCTGTGACTGCAAATATGCAGAAAACATTTATTTTAAAATGTTCCAAAGGGTTAAATTAACATATTTTTTAAATGTTTTTAATTAATTTATTGGTTTAGTGTTGCATGGCAAATTATACCGTAAGTCTATTCAATTATTTGTATGGTTTAATTTGAATTTTCTAAACTACATAGTAATAATTATTATTTCATTCAAAAACTATTTTATTTTGTGTGAAATAATTTTTGAGATATTTTGCATATGTTCAGGGGAATTTTTGATCCTGAAAATATTCTGCATCCCTATGGTAACCTCTCCTTTTCTGATTGACTTATTGGTTTAGTGTTGCATGGCAAATTATACCATAAGTCTATTCAATTATTTGTATGGTTTAATTAGAATTTTCTAAACTACATAGTAATAATTATTATTTCATTCAAAAACTATTTTATTTTGTGTGAAATAATTTTTGAGATATTTTGCATATGTTCAGGGGAATTTTTGATCCTGAAAATATTCTGCAGCCCTATGGTAACCTCTCCTTTTCTGATTGACTCAGTTGTTCTAAGGTTCTGAGCATGCTTCCAATAAATGCTACTTTGCTTCTAGTTTTGCCTATTTTTATAGGTATGGTATGTACTCTGCTTTCTGACCTTCTGTTTGCTGATCTTGTCATTCCTAATACAATCAAAGATAGTCATTTCTCTTAGTGAAATCAGTTTAACTGCATCAACTTTATCTTTAATGTGAGGTAGCAGAAATTCCTATATTCGAACTAGACTTTAATATTAATATTGTTCGAGTTACGTAACAATTGTTGTTCATAGCTACCTGAGAAAGCGTCCCATTACATTTTCTCAAAGGCAACAGGATGCTTTCTCGCGATCTTTTAACCTCTGGACAGCCGATATCATCCGTGAATATCGCCAGAGACGGCCGAAAAAAGTCAGTCATCGTCTGTCCCTCTGTCAAAGGAAACCCACATCAATTACTCCCAGAATATCATTGACCAGTGCCCATTTTGGATAACTTGTGCCATCATTGTACTAGTGGATATTATAGTGGAACTAATCACTATCGGAACTATTATCACCCAACCAGAGCTCCATCGGAAAATCACCTTTTATCACCAGGTATTTATGCAACTTGTGCTCATTATGTGAACTCTCTCTCCCCGCAACCAACTTTAGAACCTCTGTATCTTATCCAATTTATTTTTAATTAAATCCTTGTTAATTGTTAAGTGTAGTTTGAATCTTTTCCACATGCTGTCTCTCGATTGGCTGACATTACAAATCCATCTGTCCACTTACGGGACCACTCGTGTGACGGTGTGACGTAGTAATTGCCGTCTCGGCTTCCATGTTCCGATAAACATGGTGGTGTCAATCCTGACAGGGCACTAAAGAGGTGCTGACCGGAAAGGTCACATTAATGTACACTCTGAGGAGTTTGCTGAATTGTACTCCTATAAGCCTAATCTTTTGGAAGCTGCTCCAATCATCTATTGCTCTTTCTTATTCCATTATAGACATTCTGGAGTTGCTTTGGATATCTGTAGATTAACCCAAGTTTTTCAATAAACTGTTTCCCACTGTAAGTCCTCCTTCTTTTCTTGTGTTGTAACAAACTTCTGGATAGTGATCTAAATGCTGTCAATTTATACCAGAAAATATATTAGATTAAAAGTATATATAGATTGGGTTCATGTATATTGACATGGTTAAGCTCTCTTTTTTTTCTAGCCACATATTTATATCTATGTAATGGACCTCATTATTATTATGTATTTGTTCTACTTTCATAGCAACACCTACTTGGTTCTTATTAAATTCACTAATAACGCTCTTGTATTTACTTACTTCATTTCAAAGAATCGGAACAATATCCACACAGCAAAAGATGGCTATCTTATTATGTTTAAATTTTTTATTATAGGTGCTTTGATTAATTTATAATGCTATGAGTTTATTTTACGTAGCTTGACAATGACCTCTTATGGTTTATTGATCACATATTCTAGTTTCATCCTGTGTTTTAATAAAGTTCTTTTCAACAAACAACTAGTGAATACTGGTTAACTTTAAATAAACTGATATTACAAAAACCAGCAAAAATAGTAAAAAAATTTATGTTAGCAAATGTTTTATTCCATATTAAATGACATCTTCAGGTTCTTAACTTTCATAATTCAAACTGCACGAGATGGAATGCTTCAATTCAACATATGCAGGTTCATTGATTGGGTTGGGCACCTTGGGAATCTCAGATTTTTGGATCTGTTAAAAATATATGAAGCTGTTATGAGAAATGCGGCCATTAATTTCAAGGTTGAAGATTCTTTTCCATTAGTTTGGAAGACATGCTTCATTTCATAATCACATAGTCTAAGACAGCGATTCCCAACCCGAGATATGCAATAGGTTGTTTAGGGGTACAGAAAAAAGTTAGTTATTATGACAGAAAAATAATATACAGTAGACCCTCCTATAACACGGGTTCCTATAATTACGATTCCTGTAAGACGGAGAAAAAATTGTGACGGTATCCGTACAAACCTGGTAAAAACTCCTATAATTCGGTAAAATGTCATCGAGCAGCCGAACTACTTTCCGCTGTCCAGCGCCACACTATGGAGAGTTTAGGCGAGTAAGTTGCTTACTATTGTCTGTACAGTATGTAAATTAGGTACCGTAAGTCTAATACAGCACTAATACAATCTAATTTTATACATTTCTTGTAAAAGAAACATTTCTTATTCAACGGCCATAAAGATTATTTATATTAATGATGTCTCCAAAGTTCAACTAAGTTTTCACAGAAAAATAACTTATCAGAAATCGCCCGCCGTTTGGTGCGCTGCTCCGCGACGAAAACAAGCTTGAGCAATGGCGGTGTCGAATGGTGCACACTAGGTAAGTAATCCTACAAATTTTTGTTTATAGCATAGTTTATACGGATTATTCCCAAAAAAATTATACATATTTTGGAAATGTTGAGTTGAATTAGTCTAGAATCGATTAATTTTATGGAAGATAACCTTTCAAACAGCCGTAGTCCATAAACTTCACACGTGTCGGGCTGTGATTGGCAAGGACTCGTACAAAATTGATTCATAAAGAACGGAACGTATCTACCGTGTTATAGGTGGGTCGACTGTATTATGCATCACAAATTAATAATATAAAAAAATTATTAGGTAAAAAATGTTCCTTGCAATAATCAAAAACTTTATTATACATTTCAAAATGCAAAAATAGAAATAAAAACTTATGCTGCCAATTCTACAATGCAACAGATCAATAAATGTTACACAGTCAGTCAATGGTAGTGGGAATACCATTATACGTGATTAGTGATTATGCTACGGACTTTTGATGGTGGGATATGTTACCATTATTATTATTATTATCTCTCAACAATATTCCCATGTATTGTTTGAAAAAAGTATTTTTTTGTTTATAAAAAGTATTTTTTGTTGTTAGGAAGGAAAAGGACATAGCTAGTTTCTCCAGATTTTCTCTAAAAGCGGTAATTTTTTTTATTATTTATTCAGTATTTTATTAGTTTTTTATTGACAAGATTATGTCTTGTTTAGAAAATTGTACTGCCTGCTCTGTTACCAGCTTAAAGGTATGAAGGAGTAAGTGTCAGAAGTTGCACTTTGGCACAGAGTAGGGAATCATGCGCGCATAAAAAAACAGACTTGTAGGTACTTGGGAGACCGAGAACTGAGTCAAAATAAAATTCAATGTGGCGACACTCTCTACAAACATGCAGTGTGAGATTTGAGCATGTGTTGCTGGTTGGAAAGTTTGAAATGCCACAGGGGTACACTAATGAAAAAGGGTTGGGAACCGCTGGTCTGAGAGATTAAAAGTATCCAGTCCACCAATCAACAAGCCTGAACTTTTGAATCAAGGCATTGTCTCATGCAATTCGAATTTAGAATGTTAAGAGCTTGAAAATGTTCACTAACATGAGTTTTTTTTTTACCATTTCTGCTGGTTTTCGATTTTTATGATAGTAGTTCTTTCAACTACAGGCCTTATTGGCCTTTTGAAAATGTTGTTTAACATTTTCAAAAAGCTGTATAAGTGGAGTGGCAACTATTTTGGTGGACCTCAAAGAGTATTTCTTGTAGATGAGGCTTTCTTTTCTTTATAGACTTGATCCTCCTTGTTAGCAATATTGTTGGATATCTCGACTTAGTTCTTGTGCTTTTACTTATTTAATATACCTTCCTAAACTCCTCTTGGTACTTTTCTACTAATGGCAGGAATCTTAGCTTTGTCAAATAGGGTAATGACTACGTTATTGTCATCCCTCTATTTTGTAATTATTTTGATCAAGCTGGGAACTAAGTTATGAAATACTTCTTTTCTTATTTTTGTTGTTGTCCTTTATTTAAAATGTTTTTGATATCCCTGGCCAATGTCCATTTTATGGATTGCCTTTCTTGTGGGTAGAGTCTAGCTGCTTTCTCAAGTTCAGCACACATTGTGAGCAAATGCTTATCATAATAAGCTCCTTCAATATGAACTTATATCTTTTTGAGAAAGTTATTAACCTTTGCCAAAACATCAATTCTATCTTGTATATGCAATTCTTTACTTTCATGTCTGGGGATTACATAATGTTTCTGTTTCTTTAATGCTGATCACCTAAACATATATGGTCCAGCTCTTTGGTCTATTTGGCAACTATTTTCATTTCTTTATATAGGATCTACATTTTCTGTGTGAGGCAATCAATCTTTGTATGATTTATCTATATTATCCATGTTTCATGACTAGATTCTTGATGTGAACTAATTCTCTCAAGGCTTCATTGATGTTATCATAGAGGATATGCACTCATCTGATGAGGATTCTGAAAGCTGAGAGTTTATGAAACTGAATCACATGAGGTAAACAGGATTATAACAGGTGTGCTGTATATTTCCTTTATATGTTGGTTTTATACTCTATTTTTAAAGTAACAATCAATGTCCAGAAAGTGTGCTTTAACCAAGCTTTCATGGTTGAGTTGTAAAGTGAGACCAAATTGGTTAGAATTGACAGTTCAAATGAGTTTAAATATTCTATCTGATGATGAATCAGGAAGACTCAAAAATTGTTCTATACCTACAGTAAACCGACATCTTTATTGCAATAGATTTTTCTATGCATATACAAGTTTCCTATACATATTTTTGTTTTAAATTCCACGACTTTCTCCAACCTACTTTGNCTTTTTTATTTCTTTTCTATTTTCTCATCTATTTTCTTTTTATTTCGAAAATATAATAAATATTAATCATTTTAAAATAAATTATTGGAAAATTATTATTAATTATATTATAATTTTTTAAATATTACATAAATATTTTATTCTTGAAAAGGTAGTTAAAAATACAATATTAAAGTAAATAATGCTTACTGCCATCTGCGAGAAATTACAACAACAATTTATAAATTTTCTTAATTATAAAAAAATATATTTATTTATTTATTTTGCATAATAACCGAATATAATAAACAATTAAAATTTTAATAATTTTTAAATTCACATTGCTGAGTAATTCATCGGAGATTGATTTTAAAATTTTTTGGAATCCCTTTGGAATATCGCTCGGTCATTAGTGAAATAAGCTGTTCTTTAGTATATTCTCTTGTTTTTGTTGACAAAGTACTTTACCATAGTTTACCCCGGGTAATGCGAAATCTCCCTTGAACATATCCAATTAATTGTGATTCTACTTTATTTAAATGTAATCAACAATTTTTAAAATTTAGCGGTTAATAAACTTCTTACAGCAACGTGAACTAAGAGTATTATTATTGATTTTGCTTGCTTTTTTAATCATTGTATAAATACATATCTAGAAGAGAATCTATTAAATATAAGTGTGAAATTTCACATTTTTATTTTTTATCGCTTTTATCTCGTGGATTTTCTTTGATATTGAAAAGAAAATTCAAGAATCTCTCTCTTAAGAGATTATTTCTTAATAAAATAAATACAACTAATTCGATAAAAGTATGAATTATTTACAGATAATTGCTCATTTTTAAATTTATATATATAAATTCAAGATTGTTCAATTGTTCATTTATTTCAATGGATAATGTATGTATTTATAAATCATAATAAAATCTTAAAATATTCATAATTTTATTATAATTAATGCATGTATCTACATTATATGTTGTGATTAATTTTAATTTATTATAAAATGTTAATAATAATTAATATTTAACTTAAATCTTGTGTAATTTGCGTCATTTTCTTCTTGTACAAAAGATAAACAGTCTTCAATGATATGAGTAATGTGTCTTTGAATATGTCCAATAGACTGATAGACTTTTTTATTTTTAAAATTAAAGTAATCTAGTTTACTCTTTTGAAGACATAAGCAACCTTAGATACGTCGGATCACACGGAGCAAGATAGAGAAAAATATTTACAAACAATACAGCCGTAGGGATATTTCCTGGGAGTACAAAACTCTTCCAGAAAATTAATTTTCTAGCAACTTAATATTTACTCGTAGCCAAAATACGTGCGATTTTTTTCTCTGGGAGTAGAAGTAGCGCTAGACGTTAAGCAAGGAAAGCATTAAATCAGAATGCTTCATACAATAGAATGCCGTTCAAACGTAAAAATTTAATTTAAAAAGTATTTTTTTTGTACTTTGTAAATTTTTGGGAAAATCCTGTGTATGTTTGGGAGAAATTTTAGGTCCTAAAAATATTCTGAATCCCTTTTCGTAAGTTGCATTGCACCACATTACTTCTTACTGCCTGCAGACAGCTACACTTTATCAACATATTGTCAGCAAAAAATCAAAAAGGCAGTCAAGGAGGCAAATTCCCCAACTTTTTGACTAAATTTCCTAACTTTTCATGACTTTCCAAACACTAATGAAAATCCACAACTTTCCAGGTGGTAAGAACTCTGCATATAACATGGAGTTGGAATAGGCTGATAAATACATAAAATAAATAAACAAACTTAATATCTAAGCAAGATAAAACATAGTGAAATAACTGGAAAAAAATGTGGCTCTTGCTGTTTGTTGGTATGACCATTAATGTTTTGTAAATTTAGCTTAATATGAACCTCATTAATACAAAGTATAAATTTTTAAGTTCCTTCAGTTTTGTATTAACAGTTCATCCATATTATTCAAAACTCATAACCATTCAGTATTTGTTTTATAGAACTGTATTCTCTTCTTCTTAGAAAGAAGTGAACTCTGACCTTATTCTTAAATAAACTCTCCCCCACCTGACTTCGGTGGGGTGAGGTGCTTGTTTTGCCTGCTTGAAGAAGAGGGTCGCCATTTTGTATTTTATTTTGACTCGGTTCTCAGTCCCTTGACTACCTACAAGTCTGGATTTTTTATGTGCAAATGATTTGGTCACTTAATACTCTGTGCCAAATATCAACTCTCAACATGTACTTGTTCATACCTCTATGCTGGTAACTTAAAACGGCAGTACGATTTTATAAACAAGACATAGTCTTGTCAAAAAATATATATATTTATTAAATTTATCTCTTAATAAATTTCCTGAACTTTATAAATTAATAAACTAGAAAAAAAACAGAAATTGTTTTGTTATGCAATTAAAATTATTAAAATGAAAAATGATAAATAATTTTAATTTAAAAAGTATTTTTTTTGTACTTTGTAAATTTTTGGGAAAATCCTGTGTATGTTTGGGAGAAATTTTAGGTCCTAAAAATATTCTGAATCCCTTTTCGTAAGTTGCATTGCACCACATTACTTCTTACTGCCTGCAGACAGCTACACTTTATCAACATATTGTCAGCAAAAAATCAAAAAGGCAGTCAAGGAGGCAAATTCCCCAACTTTTTGACTAAATTTCCTAACTTTTCATGACTTTCCAAACACTAATGAAAATCCACAACTTTCCAGGTGGTAAGAACTCTGCATATAACATGGAGTTGGAATAGGCTGATAAATACATAAAATAAATAAACAAACTTAATATCTAAGCAAGATAAAACATAGTGAAATAACTGGAAAAAAATGTGGCTCTTGCTGTTTGTTGGTATGACCATTAATGTTTTGTAAATTTAGCTTAATATGAACCTCATTAATACAAAGTATAAATTTTTAAGTTCCTTCAGTTTTGTATTAACAGTTCATCCATATTATTCAAAACTCATAACCATTCAGTATTTGTTTTATAGAACTGTATTCTCTTATTGCATAAATTTTTGAAATTTGTAGAGTTTTATTATTTGGTTTGGATGATAATATCAATTGCCTACAGCAAATGTACTTACGTGCTAAACCCGAGTTCTTTCTTATAACACCATAATACAGATGGTCGGGCTTTGATGACCGCTTTCGATAGCATATAATGAAGTATAACCACCTAAAAAGAAAAATGCTGATTAATTTTATAAATATTCCAAAACTGTAGAATGAATTTTATCATTTTGTTCTATAGGATTCCTAATAGTGACAGATTTAAGTGTGGAATGAAATATATCATATTATTGAATATGTGTGGATACTCTTTATTTTAGTATAAGGTAACATCACAACACATTTCAGTGCTAAGTCATATTTAGGGACACCGTCAACTGGGTGACCAACAAGTACGCAATGGTCAACTGGGCTACTGCTAACTGAGAACCGGACATCTGGGTGACAGAATACAAAATTTTTTGTTTTATTTATTAATATTGATCTACTACCAGGAAAATTTAAATAATATTTTTTAAGAAACAAGTTAAATGAGTTAAAGGAACGATTTTGTAATTAACAAACATATTTATATATGTTACATACAGTAAAACAAAAAAAGACAAGAAATTCAAAATAAAATTTTTTATTTTAAATTTTATTTGTGAAAATGATTTGCTCTTATACATAAGACGGCAAGTTCTTCAAAAGAATTAGAAACAGTTAACAAATTACATGAAAGAAAAGCAATTCTTTGGTAGAATTTGTTTTTGAAGAACTGCTTTTCTTTGATGTGCTTTGTTAGCTGCTTCTGACATACAATAATTAACGATGATACAGTAAGATGTTCCAAGCATTTCCTTTTCCTAAGTTGGAAATAATTTGTAACTCATACTTCATAAGTCTTAACCATATTTATTTTTATATATATTTTAACAATATTTACAAAAAAAAGTAAATAAATAAAAAGCATTTGCCCAATCATATGCTTGCTAACCATGTAAAAAATTTTTAAGTTTCTGTCATCCAGTTAACCATGGTCCACTTGACTATCGCCCATTGTGAATTGTCCAGTTGACTGGCACCCAGTTGTCGCGTACACTCATTTTTATGTGTGGATGTATTTGCTAAATGTTCTCCCATGACCCTGACAACACATAAACACACTTTTCACAAAACTGCCACAAAATTCTGATATGCATCAAGAAATGCATTAAAAAAATGGCATTTCTGGAATTTCAACAAGAAAATTATATTGAATATTGAATAACAACATACGTGAGTTTTGCAATGAAAAAGTTAAATAATACCCCATCACATGTTATTCAATTTACCTTAGATAAAATTCATATAAATTGTATATAATTATCAGTGCAAAGTCAAACTGTTAATACATCAGAAAATTAAATTAAGTATTAACGAATCAACAAATATATTAAATCTATTAAAAAAATAACAATGGATTTAATTGTAGTTTTATCAAATTTTTATTTTTTAATATAATTTAAATATCTCATAGTCCTTGTGAATAACATTTCTGTCACAAAACTTCTACCAAAAATCCAAAAATTGCCACAATCAGTTATAAACATGCAAATACACATGAACAGGTCAGGTCAGCAAATATTTAAAAAAATATAGGTTTATCTAGAGATTACAGTAGATTTAAATCACAATCATCAAAGGTAGAGAGAAAAACTAGGACATCGCACTACTTTGTCGTATTGTGATAGAACTGAAGCAGAGCCGAAAAGAAAGAAGCAATCCCTGCACCTGTTACACATAGAAGAGGTGATTCTTGTACAGTACCTGAGAAATGCAAACAGCTGAACTTTGCACTTTCTGTCACAAAAAAAGGCAATCCTTGCACCGGCAGGCCACAGGAGACATGATCCTTGCACTGGCCAGGTACAGAGAGACAATTCAAGAACAAAACAATCAATGGCAATTACATTGTTCTTGTGTTTTTTTTTTGTTTTTCACACCTATTTTCCGTTAGGCATATATAATATTGTTTTTATTTTTGACTCCTAGGCCTAAATTCCATTAGGTGCACTTGTCACATCAGAGAGCATGGACATTGTCACTGTAAACTTTGTATACCAAAAACAAAGTCATGGACTCCTATTTTTACTCTCCTGGCTCTCATATACATAACAGAGGAAAAGTATGGCAATCGATCAAAAAATTACCCCCCCCAAGATGTTTACATTTTTGGACTCAGATTACCTTGAGACATTGAGAAATGCAAAAATATTCAGAGTTTTTTCTCTATGCATGGATGTTAATGTGTGTGGCACAATTTTGTTTACCCTGTTTAAAGCTTAATAACTATGCTTTTAAAAATTTCTGAAATTTTGCAGGAAGGTTTGTGTATTAGAAAGATTCATGCTATTAAATTTTGGTGGTTTAAGGTCAACAGAGTGAGGCAATAAAGGGCGGTCATATGTCATATACCTCAATTTTACTCATTATTGGCATTTACAGTTTTATTTATAAAATCCTCCCTACCCTCAAAATTAAGCTTTTTGCCATTTTATAATAATTAAAAATATAAACAGTTTTTAAATGAAATATCATAACAGATAGTGCCACCAGAATTTTAAATGTTGCTGGGAAAGTTAAGCAATTCATTGCTTGATTTTTTACATTTAATGGACCCACATTACATTTCTGGATTCCTCCACTAATCGAAAATGGCAAAGCTATATCAAAATTGATCCACTAAATTTTCAGAATGAACTTGATTCTATAAGCCCATACAAGACGTGCTGGTGACTGTAAAGCATTGTGTGATATCGCTTTGTAACATGTGTTTGTGAAATGACCTTATATCGCGAAAACAAAATCATGGACCCCATTTTTTATTGCATTTTTGGATTCCATAGCCCAATTAATGGAAAATGACAAAGTTTAATCAAAATCTATTGAATGTATTTTGTGAACGAGCACAATTCTGTTAGCCTAATAGAAGAAGCTTCGCTAATGCTCCACTTCAAATTTATTTTTCTTACCACTTCACCAATGAGGAATTGGTTAGATATTATGAGATACTCAGGTATCATGTATGTTTATGTATATGTTGTAAATTCTGAGACCATTTTTTGGCACTTGGAGGAACTGGACACAAAAATGATCCTCATTTTCATTTTTCTCAAATAAATACAACCAACATCTCTTGAAACATCATTTATTCCATGTATAGGATGGGTTCCCCTTTGTAAGAAGATTAGTCAAATTAGTGCCATCAAACGATAAACTATGAAATTAAATCATTTTTGCTGCAGATGTACATTTGAAATATAAAAATTTACAAGTTTCCTATAGAAAACCCCAACAAAATGTGTCTAAAGGATCAAAGTATCAATAAAGTAGCATAATAGGATTTATTCAAAAAAGCCAGAAAAGTCAGGTCCTGTAAAAATATTTTATCAGGGAAACTCTATCTCTGAACAAAAAAACTAGCACCTTTATCATGTAAATTCCCACATAAGGTACTCAGCCAGCCATCACATACCTGACAAGGCATATAAATACAAACATAAACATCTTAACGAAAACCCAATACATTATAATAAAGCTACAATGACTGCTGCTGAATGTGCCCCAGTCGGCATTGTAGTAACCAACGATGGTTATATCATAATTTTAATTATACTGGAAGAGGATATAGGACCGGAAGTCCAGGTAGCATAATTTAACGCATCCACATGGCAAGTGACAGTTGCAGGTTTGAGTCCCAGTTTAATCTAAAATTATTTAATTAAATTATAATTATTAAATTTAATATGAGATGACACCTAATGCCTCTCTCTAAGGTCAAATTTATCAGTAATTTATAATTATTATAGCTGTTATTTAGCCCAATGTCATATGGTAGTGGCACTCTTTGATTCAGTGTTGGAATTCCTAGAAAGCAAAGACAATGATTTGCAGCTCAATTTAATTAATTCAAAAAATGACATAGCTTATATGACTGATTTATTTGCCAAATTTAACGAAACCAATTTGAAGTTACAAGGTGATCAATTAAATTTAATCATAGTCACATCNTTCTTGTGCTTTTACTTATTTAATATACCTTCCTAAACTCCTCTTGGTACTTTTCTACTAATGGCAGGAATCTTAGCTTTGTCAAATAGGGTAATGACTACGTTATTGTCATCCCTCTATTTTGTAATTATTTTGATCAAGCTGGGAACTAAGTTATGAAATACTTCTTTTCTTATTTTTGTTGTTGTCCTTTATTTAAAATGTTTTTGATATCCCTGGCCAATGTCCATTTTATGGATTGCCTTTCTTGTGGGTAGAGTCTAGCTGCTTTCTCAAGTTCAGCACACATTGTGAGCAAATGCTTATCATAATAAGCTCCTTCAATATGAACTTATATCTTTTTGAGAAAGTTATTAACCTTTGCCAAAACATCAATTCTATCTTGTATATGCAATTCTTTACTTTCATGTCTGGGGATTACATAATGTTTCTGTTTCTTTAATGCTGATCACCTAAACATATATGGTCCAGCTCTTTGGTCTATTTGGCAACTATTTTCATTTCTTTATATAGGATCTACATTTTCTGTGTGAGGCAATCAATCTTTGTATGATTTATCTATATTATCCATGTTTCATGACTAGATTCTTGATGTGAACTAATTCTCTCAAGGCTTCATTGATGTTATCATAGAGGATATGCACTCATCTGATGAGGATTCTGAAAGCTGAGAGTTTATGAAACTGAATCACATGAGGTAAACAGGATTATAACAGGTGTGCTGTATATTTCCTTTATATGTTGGTTTTATACTCTATTTTTAAAGTAACAATCAATGTCCAGAAAGTGTGCTTTAACCAAGCTTTCATGGTTGAGTTGTAAAGTGAGACCAAATTGGTTAGAATTGACAGTTCAAATGAGTTTAAATATTCTATCTGATGATGAATCAGGAAGACTCAAAAATTGTTCTATACCTACAGTAAACCGACATCTTTATTGCAATAGATTTTTCTATGCATATACAAGTTTCCTATACATATTTTTGTTTTAAATTCCACGACTTTCTCCAACCTACATTGTACAGATTCCCTGACCCTCGAATCCCTTACAGTATGACACATTGACAAAATAAGACAGCATTTGATTTACTATGCACATATGATATTGCTCACCAATGTTTCAATTATCTATTTTTTCTAATTAATAGTTAAATTAATCAAAATTAATTTTTTATAATTGCTGAATTATTAAGATTAAAAAAAATTTTTTTATTAAATTAAAGTAGTTTTATTCTGTTATTAATCCACAACTATAAATCTACATGGCTCTGAAAAAAGAAAAAAAGCCATTGTTTATTTATTATTCTTTAACAAATCCTGTATAATCCATCTACAAGTAAAACGGCAAAACCATATTTGGGACAAGACTATGTCTCGGAGACTCACTACTAAGCGGAATCACTTTGACGCTCAAGGCGGGTCTTGTTCTCATTCTCCAATCTTCTTTGTTATCGCTGCTTTTGGGTGCAATCATTCAAACTTCGCCGGCCACGATGCATTTTTGATGAAATTAACCTATCCAATTTTGAAATTTCTCTCTGTTGCGTGTCAGCCCAGGTTGAATTTTTGTCGATGCGTGATGAAAATTTCCCATTTTTAAAAAAATAATTGTGACTATTGTGTCATCCAAAATTATTTTTTTATTNCATCAATGTGAAAATTGAACTTGTTTTGAATTGCACAAACGATCGACGTTTGTGCAATTCAAAACAAGTTCAATTTTCGCGCCAATATTGAAGAAAACGACAGTTTAACCATTTTAATTTGTTTTTCTTGTATATAAAAATAATATTCCCATCTTACTCCACGGGTGGGGCGAGATGGCGCATTTACGTATAATTTTAAAATATTAAATTTTCTTGTTTTTAAAAACGTTTTTCAAAAAATAAATTTTGTATTATATATTACCAAACGTTGCAATTGCCGAGAATAAAAAAAAATTATCGTTCTCGTTAAAGTGGTTGCCATCTTATGACTTTTCAAGCCTTAACATTCTCATCTTGCCCCACCTTCCCTTATATGGTATTGTGGTCAATGTATCGCTTATTGTTACGTCTGAAATCCGATGATTCGTCCTTAATAATTCTGTATAGACATCGGCACAAATGTGGATTCGAAAACAAATCTTATACGTCAGAGTCGAAAAATTGTCTACATCGGCAGTTCCCAACCTTTTCTACAGTATTCCTCCTCCATCGAAGCTCTCNAAAACAAAATCATGGACCCCATTTTTTATTGCATTTTTGGATTCCATATCCCAATTAATGGGAAATGACAAAGTTTAATCAAAATCTATTGAATGTGTTTTGTGAACGAGCACAATTCTGTTAGCCTAATAGAAGAAGCTTCGCTAATGCTCCACTTCAAATTTATTTTTCTTACCACTTCACCAATGAGGAATTGGTTAGATATTATTAGATACTCAGGTATCATGTATGTTTATGTATATGTTGTAAATTCTGAGACCATTTTTTGGCACTTGGAGGAACTGGACACAAAAATGATCCTCATTTTCATTTTTCTCAAATAAATACATCCAACATCTCTTGAAACATCATTTATTCCATGTATAGGATGGGTTCCCCTTTGTAAGAAGATTAGTCAAATTAGTGCCATCAAACGATAAACTATGAAATTAAATCATTTTTGCTGCAGATGTACATTTGAAATATAAAAATTTACAAGTTTCCTATAGAAAACCCCAACAAAATGTGTCTAAAGGATCAAAGTATCAATAAAGTAGCATAATAGGATTTATTCAAAAAAGCCAGAAAAGTCAGGTCCTGTAAAAATATTTTATCAGGGAAACTCTATCTCTGAACAAAAAAACTAGCACCTTTATCATGTAAATTCCCACATAAGGTACTCAGCCAGCCATCACATACCTGACAAGGCATATAAATACAAACATAAACATCTTAACGAAAACCCAATACATTATAATAAAGCTACAATGACTGCTGCTGAATGTGCCCCAGTCGGCATTGTAGTAACCAACGATGGTTATATCATAATTTTAATTATACTGGAAGAGGATATAGGACCGGAAGTCCAGGTAGCATAATTTAACGCATCCACATGGCAAGTGACAGTTGCAGGTTTGAGTCCCAGTTTAATCTAAAATTATTCTTTAATTATTAAATTTAATATGAGATGACACCTAATGCCTCTCTCTAAGGTCAAATTTATCAGTAATTTATAATTATTATAGCTGTTATTTAGCCCAATGTCATATGGTAGTGGCACTCTTTGATTCAGTGTTGGAATTCCTAGAAAGCAAAGACAATGATTTGCAGCTCAATTTAATTAATTCAAAAAATGACATAGCTTATATGACTGATTTATTTGCCAAATTTAACGAAACCAATTTGAAGTTACAAGGTGATCAATTAAATTTAATCATAGCCCCATCTATTCACATGTTCAATTTTTAGACCTAATGATTCCAGCTCTTGCAATATTAATTCAGTCAAACCAGCTTCAGTAGTTAACTTCACAGGCAAAAATTGCTAAAATATTCTTTGGATAAGTATTCAGAACCTTGCTAGAATAACCAAAGACATTCAATTAATTCTGTTGATATCCAGAGTACAGTCTAAAATTATAATATAATAATCATTAATGCTCTTTTGAATCTTTTGTCACATTAGTGAAATAAGGTTCATTTTGTATATCTTAGATAATGCAAGAATTCTCAAATGACCTTAAATGTTCACTTGTAACAAGGTGAAATTTTGATAACTCCCAAGATTTTTTAAAATATTACCTTTGTTTGGTGCAAATATTTTAATCCAAATTTCGGCACTTGTGCAGTTTAGGGGGTACAGCTGTTTGAAAGGTTTTCTTCCATAAAATTAGTTGATTCTAGACTAATTTGACTGGAACATCTCCAAAACATGTATAATTTTTGGGAATAATCCATATAAAATATGCTATAAACAAAGAATTGTAGTAATACTTACTGAGTGCACACTGTTTGAAGATGCCATTGCTTAAGCTTGTTTTCGTTGTGGAGCGGCTCATCAGACGGCAGATGCATACAAAGCTTGTCACGTGACTACTCATCTCTGACGTGTTTCTTAATAACTTATTCTTTTTCCGAAGAATTCGCTGAACTTTGGAGACATCACGTGATAGATCATAATATACTATAGTATTTTTATTGTAATTAGAAATGACTTATTATTATTATTGACTGTATGAAATAACAAATGTAAAACCGCTTGCTAACGACAATAATTCTATCTTGATATATATTATGATGATAAATATTAATCAGATGCAACATAAGATGTGTAATGTCTTGATGTAAATAAATATTATACAATTTTGTTTATGACATGAAAGAGATTAAGCCATTTAAAAGAAGAACAAAATTATTAGTTATTTATTGCATTATCATACATTATTATATATTGATTTTAATCTATATTTAGAATGGAATGATGTTTTAATATTTCTATTAATGATGTCTCCAAAGTTCAGCGAATTTTTCGCAGAAAGAATAACTTATCAGGAAACACGTCTGAGATGAGTAATCACGTGACCAAATAGCACCGACAAATGTCACGTGACAAGCTTTGTACATGTCCGCCATCCAATGAGCTGCTCTGCAACGAAAACGAGCTTAAGCAATGGCATCTTCAAATAGTGCTCACTCGGTAAGTATTACTACAATTCTTTGTTTATAGCATATTTTATATGGATTATTCCCAAAAATTATATGTGTTTTGGAAATGTTCGAGTCAAATTAGTCTAGAATCAATTAATTTTATGGAAGAAAACCTTTCAAACAGCCATACCCCCTAAACTGCACGTGCCCAAATTTCCTCTCGATGCTAACAGTTGTGAGGCACATAACTGAATAACCTAGATTATCTGAGGGTAAAAGTCCATAAATTATCAAAGAAGCCAACTAAGTAATGTAACTTGTTATACTGTACATTGCAATGAATGTGACTTTCAATATGTAATCTGAAAATGGCACTCTTTTGAAAGTGTTGCATGAGTTGACCACCTCACCCCATGTACCTGCCTGCTTTGGATGATATTTAACTCCAAATGTGGAACCCCTGTCGTTGGGGAAGGGATTAAAACAGACATACCCAGTGTCTCAAGGTATCCTGACAGACATTTTCATGGGGGACACCTTGAACTTATGACATCAACTTCTTGGTCACATGTAATGTGAATCAAGAGTCAAGAAAGCAAATCATCGAAGAGTATTTTTTCCTGTCTCTATCGCGGATAGATAATTTTGAGAACCGCTGATCTAAAATACATATGCTCACCTGATCTTTTCCTTTATCTCCGACAACAACAAACATTGTTCTATGTCCCTGATTTACGCCATTTTCAATAAGCACTCTTATTCTATTGTCTATTTTCTTTCTCATCTTTATAATAGCTGATTTCACATTCAAAAATTATTTTTCGTCTTATAGTATTTCTCAACTTTCAAAAAACACTAATTCAAACCACCATACCACATCCACGTGGTTTCCATAATGTATTACCACGCCATCTGCAAAAATTAAATTCATCATGAATTCATTTTCATTTTTAACAAAGTTTTGTTGATAAATTAAAGTAAACGCGTATTTTAATAACATCTTATTTCTTTAAAATCAGGAAAAAATAAATGATAATTATTATCTGTAATATCAATGTAGAACAAATAAAAAAAAAAGTACAGTACTTACCGGTAGTTTTTCAGTTTTCTTGATTAGAGAAACAAATAAACCAGCAATGAGTTGCTCAACTTTCCCGGCAACATTTATAATTTCAGTGGCACCATGTTATTATATTTTATTAAAATCTTTTTATATGTTTAGTTATTATAAAACGGCAAAAAGCTTAATTTAGAGGGTAGGAGCAGATTTTATTTAAAAAAAAAATTGTAAATGCTAATCATGAGTAAAATCGTCACTAAGTCCGACCCTACTGGATATACACATTATCTCCCAACCCCTCCACCTTTAACCACCAAAATTTAATAGCATCAATCTCTGTAATAAACAAAAACCTCCCTGCAAAATTTAAGAAATTTTCAACAAAACACAAGGGAGTTATTAAGCTTCAAACAGGGTGAAGAAAATCGTGTCACGCACACACATACATACATACGAAGGGTGTTCAAAAAGTTTCGGACCTTTATTTTTCCCGCGTAAACCAATGATGCACGGGAGGTCTCTTTCGGTAGCGTTGTGGAGGGGACAGTCATGCACAGTCCTGAATTTTTTCCCGCCTGCAGGAAGCGTCAGTCGCAGGCAGTCGGCCCATGAGTGAGGACGTGTAGTGAGAGCTCATCGGTTCCACTAAGTTGGAAAATGACTGAACAACGTGAGCAGCGATATTGCATCAAATGTTGCCAAAAGTTTGGCGATTCTCAAGCGGAAACCATTCGCAAGATTCAGCAGGCTTTCGGGGACGATCTCCGAGGCCAAAAAAAGAGCGGCAGGTCCGCAGCAATGTCAAGGTCATGTTGACAGTTTTTTTCGACTCCCGTGGGGTGGTATATCGTGAGTACGCACCATAATGCCAAACCATCGCAAAGGAGTACTACCAGGAGGTCCTTCGTCGTCTTTGTGATGCTGTGCGACGCAAACGACTGGATCTGTGGTCGACCAAAACTTGGCAGCTCCGTCATGATAACGCACCCGCCCATTCTGCGCATCTGATTCGGACTTTCGTCGCTAAACACAAAATTCCTGTGGTTCGTCACGCTCCGTACTCTCCCGACATGGCTCCGTGTGACTTTTGGCTATTTCCCAAGCTGAAAATGCCTCTAAAAGGAACCCGATTTTAGTCAAAAGAAGACATCATACGGAATGCGACGGACCGGCTGATGGTCATTCCAAAAGGTGCGTTCCAGCAGTATTTCCAGCAATGGCAGGAGCGCTGGGAGAAGTGTATACATTACCAAGGAGACTACTTTGAAGGGGATTAGGGTTTTGTACCTCAAAATCAATAAATGTATTTTTGCCGACCAAAGGTACGATACCTTTTGAACATACCTCGTACATACACACATACTAATATTCATACGTATAGAAATTAGCCCAGCATTTTTTTGCATTTCTCTGCGTTTCAAGGTGTCCCGAATCCAAAAATGTAAAAATCTAGGGGAGGTCATTTTCTGTCGGATCGCCATGCTCTCCCTCTGCTATAACAGTCTGCTATAACGCCATCCCTCTATTATAACAGTCGAAAAAGTAAAAATTTAACATAATTAGCCAAAGAGAAAAACAGCCTAACTCTTACATGTTAGGTAGTTTATGATTGGTTAATCTTGCATGGCTTTTCCATTCCAACACAGACTAAATGGAATTTAGTATTTTTACTTTTCACTCTTTCCACCTTTTTTTTTATTTTTTTTTATTTTAACTCTCTTTGTTAATAAGAGGGCTTTTTTCAGTAAGCCAGTCCCACAATGGAGGCGGCTGGACAGTGAAGGACGGAACCACACATATCCGGACGGATCATCCCTCGAAAATTTCTTGGGGTTTTTCGATCTCGGATCCTCGGAGTTGTAGGCTGCCATGTTAGGCTGATCGGCTATCTCCACATGTAGGTACCATACTAAAAGAGCCTTTTAAAATTGTATTTTCAGTCCGTGATGTGTCACTACTGTGAGTGTCCCAGCACAAACTAATATATGAAGATGTGAGAGTGTAGAAATTAAATGGTTGTAGTGTGGTAGTGAGTGTTTACATAATTTAGTGTTTTTCCTACTATTTTTGACGTGTTGGTTTTTGGTATTCATGGTCTTTATCTGGGATCTGTACCTGTATATTTAGTGTTTCCTGAAATAAAAGTGAGAGCATATTAACTAAATCAATGTGTTATCAGTGATGGATGAGGAAGTGTCTGTAGTATCATTAGTGGTAGTTGTTGTGTGCGCGCTATTATCAGTGCTTGTTGCTGGATTATCCTGAGAGATTACACGATCTTTGTTAATGTTAACAATAGTAGTGCCGGTCATCTTACTCCTTCAAGGACAAATTTTTGAATTGAAATAAAATTAATTCCGGTTTGCACAAGAAATTCGTATAGTTAATTGGGTCAACCCTATTCATAAGGTTTCCATATCTGGTCTCGTCTTCAGCTGTTACAATCACTACTTCACAAGAGACTGGCAAATAACGTGTCATACAATTTCGGTTAATCATCTGATCATCTTTTTTTCAATTAGGAGGTGGTGAACCTATGGCACGCGTGCCAAAAGTGGCATGTTGGTAGAATCAACTGGCAAGTAGTGTCATACGATTTCGGTTTAGCATGGTTACTTTTCGACATAATCACCGGGAAGATTGAAACATTTGTGATATCTGTGAACGAGCTTTGCAATCAGGGGCGGATCTAGGTTTTTCGGGTCCTAGGGCTTATTGAAGCCCAATGGGGTACCATTTTTTGTTAGATTAAGAATCTTTACATTGATTACAATAAAACAAATATACTATAAATTATCATTATTATTATATTATTAATATTAACTATTTTTTACTATTCGATAAGTGCTCATTGTTAATGAAAAAGTATTAAAAATGTATGATGATAATTCAATTTTTGTGGGCCCTTGACACTTGGGGCCCAGTGCTTAAGCCCTATTAGTCCCTATGCAGATCCTCTCGTTTGCAATCCCCTGTTCATAGAATGTTACCGCCAGTGACTTGAGATGAAAGTTAAATATTTCTGTCTGTTGTCTGATAAGTTCAAGTGTTGTATGTGGGATAATGTTGTGTAAAATGCTTTTTTGATCAACAACCCTTTGTTTGGCGACAGTGAGGTGAGGATATTGGTGATTGGTGAAACACCAACAAAAGATTTAATTTGGCAGCCGAAAAAAAAAAAGCGATCGTCAGCGTTCCGGCGCTATTTTCGACTAATGGAGTCGAAAGTGGTTTTTAAACAGCGATTAACAATACAAGCGGGCCGCGTGTCGTTGAAGTTTCTGTGGATTGTCGTTTGATATATCGGCTTTGTTACTTTTGTCCTGCTAAATTCGCAAATTCTGAATTGTGCGTCGGTCCCACGGCCAAGGCTAAAGCCACAAAAATTTGAAAAATCCCACAATATTGATAAACGATTGGGTGGCGTGGAGAAGTGTTGCCGCATTACCGAATGCCAATTTACAAACCACCGTGCCGCCGCCGCTGCAATTACTTTCGTAAAGATCTCGGCGCCATACAGGCCCCTCTTATTAAAGTTTTGAAGGCTAAAAAGTCTCTCTTAGTGTCCACAAAGAGGAAGAGTCAAAATTATGGATCAGACCCGTAACAATCGGCATAATTGTGGCATACGGTCTATCTTATTATCTCACATTCACTAAAGCATTGGCAAATATTATTTGCAGAAGACAAATTATGAAAAAATGACAAATTACATTTCCGTCTATTAAAGAAACATATATTAACGAAAAAATTGTCATCGAAATGAAAGACGAATAAACGATATTTTATGTTATGATGATTGCAATATACAGTATTCCATAAGATTCTCCTAAATTCTTAGAGGAGAATGGAACATGTCCATGCAAACAATTGCCCAAATTATCGATAAAATGTAAATCATCGTCAATTTTCCAATGAAATTTAACATTGAAAATTTCATTAATACAATGAATTCCCGTATAACGCGTATAACACTGGTACTCACAAAATTCTAATTTTGTTTTCCACAGGTACACGTTAAGCGTAGGTTTAAACTGTATTTCACTCAATAATTATATAATAGTTAATAACAATACTCATAACTCGTTAACAATAGTCCGTTTATTGCTGTATAATTATCGTTAACGCCGGCCATAACCAGCACGTTTACTTCCTACAATGGGATTGAAATCGTGGTGGATCCAGTTAAAAACTATTATAAGAGAGAAAACCGAGTAAGTATATACGAGATAAAAGTTAAAAAAAAGAAATTTCTAGCCGTGACGTCAAATTATTATTTCAGAACCAATATAAAACTATGGCTAATCGCCATGTCAGCGATTTCTCATAAGACTTTCATACCAAATCATTGGCTCGGCTTCGGTCGAGGATCTTCGTTGGAGGACGAAAAAAGTGAAAGGAAAAATTCTATTGTGGATAAAACGAAAAAATTGCTAGGTTTAAAAAATATTCGGATCGCAAAGAATGTCGGAGAAGCTAGCGGCGACCATTTTAAATCTTTTATGGAAAAATACGGCAACGAGGACACACGTGATGACCACGATGAAGATTTGGAAGAATTTCGGTTTCAAATGTTGCTGGGCACCTGCAGATTCAATTTGGATTCATTGACAGATAGGAATGAACTTGCTGCTCCAGAAGCACGTTCGTCTCGTGAAATTCTCGTCAGATCGAAAAGGACCACTCCTAAGTTTTTGGCATGGAAAAAATAACAGTCGGAATATCTGATAAATGATTAAATTATAAATTCGTTTATGAAATTTTACTATAAATAAAATTAAAATCTATTAATGTACATAATATCCACTATTGAATAATTAAAATCTATTTTAATTTTAGTAAGTGTGCGTGTGTGTTGACGTCTATTTCGCTTAATATCTCGGGATGAAGTAAATATTAAGTAAGGAAATTTGGCACGGTAGCTTGTATGCGAGGGGCATTGATGCTATTAAATTTTGGTGGTGAAAGATCAAGAGGATGGGGAGATAAAGGACGGTCGTGTATCTCAAGAGGAGCAGGAGTTAATGAATATTTTATTCATTATTAACATTTTCACTCTTATAAAACTCATCCCTACTCTCAAAATTAAGATTTTTGCCATTTTATAGTAATTAAAAGTTTATAAAGCTTTTATAACAAAATCTGATAACAGATGGCACCACACACAATTTTCTTTTTTTTGCTTAATAATATAAAAGTTCTTTTTTTTTTTTTAACTAAAATCTCATAATAGCCAGGAAAGTTATTCAGCTCTTGTTGATGGTTTTTTTTAAGTGTGTAAGTAGACTTTTGTGACTAACTAACTATCATTTCAAGATGATAAAAAGAGTGAGAGAAAAAGATTCAATAGTTAAAAAAATCTCTTCTTAACTCTATTTACAGAAATTTATTTACAATTTTATTAGAGTTAATTAGATATTTTTGAAAATTGGCAAAAAAATTTAGATAGATACAAACTAATATTAAATTATTTATAGTATTATTAAAAACTGGTTAAGCAGTAACACATCTACATTAAACCTTTAAGTTCAGCAATAACAAATTTAAGAGAGCTAAAAATATTTACATAAAAAAAGATACTGTACAAACCTTGTAGGAAGTAGGTCCCAGTGGATTTGGCTAAATCTTTGGTATTTTGTAGTTCAGTGGTCGTGATCAAACAACACTGTAGGCACAGTAAAAAAATGGACAGATTTTTGAATTATCAAGTATCCAAGATACAAAAACAGCATAATTTGTGTATGTGTAAAGCCATAAATCTTTTTCATTTAAAAAGTATAAAATGTTATGTCCCAACATAGTTCCTTTTCAACTGTTTTCAAGTCTCAGAAAAGTGAGTCTCCTGCAAGAAAGGCAAAAAAATGAATTTACAATGAATATGCATTTCAGGCTCTATGCCCCTCTTCAGTTCTTATTTTATTATGTAAACTGGTAAAATTATATAAGAAATTACAGAATGTGTTTAATATATTTTTTCCTAACTGCTCTTCCAGTATATTTCTCTTTTTGTATAAAACTTCTAATTCATTCTGTATTGACTTCTTTTCCAAACTTATTTCAAACATCAATACATATTTATTCAGCAAATAAATTAGGATAAAACTTAGCATCTTTAAAGATTTTTCTTAGGTAGTTACAGTAGGCAGCTAAAATAAGGTGACCAGGCGTCCCACTTTTTAACAATTTGTCCTGCATCCCACAGCGTTTTAAAGTCCCAACTTTTTGGAAGGATTAAATTTTTGTCAATTATGTGTCATAAACTTACGTCTTATGTTCAAGATTCAGTAAAGATCATTTTGTATTGTGGCTGTACCCATATTTAGTGTTGCCGTCTTTTCAAAATTGCTGACCCGGACAGCAGGTGAGGTTAGTTCGAACAGGAGTTCCTGACGCATGTGCAATGTCATTTTGCAATGCGAAGAATAGCATGCAGTGCATGGCAGTTCTAAATCAGTTACAGTTAGGGACTACGGAGACTTCGGTAGGAGTAATGTAAGTAACTAAATTAAGAAAAAACAACTACTGATGACTTATTGGATATTGGAGACATGTACAAATGCAAATTGTACAAGCAAAAAAAAAAGAACGGAAAAAAAAAGGTTTACAGGTTGTGCACGATATTCCCAGACAAAATTAATAGTTCACCCAACAGTGAGTTGATTCCTGGACTGTCCGGGTGAAAACCGGACATGTGGTAACACTAGCCATATTAGATATATATTTTATTCTAATTTTTGTATATTTTCCTTTGTTTCGTCTATTGCTTGTCCCTTGTAGAAATTTCCTTCCCAACCTTCCTTCTTGGGT